AATAAAAAATATAGTTTAGAGGAACTTGAATGCCAACAATATTTTCATATTAATCAAAAAACTCCGTTAGAAATGAATAAAAATTTTTCATTAATGATGACATTATATAATCAAAATGTAGATAATAACAATACCTTATCAGAAAGGATAAATATTAAATGTGGACCAACTCATCAAATCTTTCCATTATTTCAACCAAATCCTTTATTTAATGATGAAGAATTCCATCCATTAATAACTCGTATTGTAGCAGAAAGGAAAATGATATTCAATGAATCATTTGAACTTATTCTGGGAACACTGAATGAAGATTTTAATTCAAATAAAATGATAATTTGGATTAATGGTGGATTTACTCCATTTGAAGAGATTGAACTTCACAAAACATTATTAAAGATGAAAAGTTCAACAGAAGTAATTCTTGGAGGAAGTCAATTATTAAATACTGAATTATATTACCAATGGCTATCTAATGAATAATTCATTAATTAAAATAAATGTTAATGATAACTACCACGAGATTTATTATATCTTAAAGATGGTTTAAATGAAGGTATTTCACTAACTGTTGTTGTTTCTTTAAAAAATATGTTATCATTTGAATAAATATTTTCACACTGAATACATTTTGGATGGAAATAATCAATTGTTTCATCTTTTAATTCATCAGTAAATAAAGGAAGTTCTATTTCATTTCTATCTAAAAAAGATTGGTGTTCATTTTCATCATCAACTTCTTTATTTAATTCATCTGGAGTAGTTGAATGAGATTGAAGTTCTGATTCAGTTTCACTATTGCTCATAATTCTAGTAAAATAGGGGTAATAACTTTAAAGATCAAAAACCAAAATATAATTTTTATAATTTCTTTTACTATTAAATTATAATTAAATAAAAAAGACGATTAAATAAAAATGGGAGAAGTTAACAAATCCATTTCTTCTGTTAACTTTTTTAATGAAGAACCTTCAAGTATATTTCTTGAAAATAAAAATAATTCTCTTGAACATCCAAATTTTGAGGCAACCCATTGGAATGTTTGAGAATTAATCCATATTTCAGATAATTTACAACCATTACTTTTAAGAAGTTCAACAAATCTACGAATAAATAAAATAAAAAGAAATTCTCCTTGATTTTTTGTTTTTATTAACAAATTTGTTTTAAGACAATTTGTTGAAAAAGATAAATGAAGATGAAGGGGTAAATTTTCTTTTGTAATAACAACATTAGAATCATTTATAAGAGAAATAATTTTTTTTAAGGCATTAACATAGAGTGTTTCACAATTAAATCCTTTTTTATTATCAAAGAAATCAGTCATAGTTTTATAAAAGATAGGAATAAATAAAATTTGTGATTTAGTTTCTTTTCTAATATAAATATTAATAAATACTCGTACTTTCTTATTATTTAATGTTAAAAATATTGGTGCCAATTTTTGTGGTTCTAATACCCAACCATTTTTTATTTCAGGAATTAAACAATTTAATTCTTGAGATGCCATTACTAATTCTGTTGGTTGAATAAGTTTTGATAAAAAGAGATATAATGTTAATGTGTCGTTACGTGATAAATCAGAATGAAGAATAGAATTATTATAAACAATAACAAAACTAGCTAATTCTGGATATTCTTGTTTTGAACGTTCTATAATAGTAGAAAGATATAAATAAGATTTATGTGTTAATACAGCTCTTTCAAAGAATGAATAATTAAATGATAATAATTCATTAAATCTATAATTTTGAAAAACTGGTGTAAAAAGATTTTTCATTAATGGTTTCATTTCAATTGAATAATTATTATTATATAACATTGAATATGAATCACTTAAATATGATAAAAATGGTAAATATTCATCTAATGCATCTGTTCTACCAACTCTTAACATATAATAAATATGTTCTTGAGGTGATATAAAGAAAGTAACTGTTAATTTAGTTCTAAAATATTTTGTTTTTGAATTAAATTGTTGACAAATTCCAATAACTGTTTGCATATGACCAATACTAATTACTAATGTTTCAAATTCCATTTTTGGTGCTATATAATATAATATCTTTTCATCTTGTGTCCCTTCTTTTAATCCTAATCTATCATCAACTACTGCAAAAAATATAAAATTACCTGCTTCAATCTCTACCATTCTTCTTTATTTTTCTTTTTTAGTTTTTTTATTATTTACTTCTTCATTTTTTTATTTATTATTGAATTTAAACAATTCTTTTTATTTATTTCTTATTATTTTGTTTAAATAATACTCCATTATATCTTAACATTAAAAAGAATATTCTCATTACTTTCATTTTATTTATCAAAAAATTACTTTAAAAAAAAAACAATTTTTCCTCTTTTTATTTAATCATTATTTATATCATTAATACACTTTTAAGAAAATATAATTATTATCTGGTACTAACCTTCAATCATTAAAAACTCATTTTTTTTTCTTAGTGAAGTACTATTTTAATAATACAAGTTAAAAGGGAGTGACAGTTATATCAATTAAAAATAATTGATACATTATTAAAGAAAGTTATTTAATTAATTTCAGCTTAGAATAATTAATTAATTGTATTAAATCATTAATTAAAAATAAATAATGTTTTTATAAAGATAATATAAAATAAAATTAATTTGAACTATAAAAGAATTATTCTAAGAAATATAAAATGATTCTTTTATTTTATTGTATTTTATGTTGTATTGGAACATTTATTTCACCATGTGTTGTTTGTTAAATACAATTAAAAGAAAATAAGAAAAGAAAATTAAATCAAATAGAGTACTTTTAAAGTAGGATTAATTGGTCGTATGGATGAATTTGGAATTTCAATTGAATCAGAGTGTTATGATAATATACCAAATGCTAAAGAAGTTGTTAAAGGATTAATTATTGAATCAGAATGTTATATTCATGAATCATTAAAAGATGAAGAAACATATACATTTAGTACAAGAAGATGTGGTGCATGTTTAGGGTTAAATGGACCATCAATGAAACCATATCAATGTATGATTTCAGGATTTTTTAAAATAGATAATGCCACAAATGATCCATTTATAATCGATTATTTTAAAAGAATGGTTTTAGTAAAAGAAAATTTGTTTGAGAAAGTTACAGGTCAAATCGTTGATGAGTTTACATTTATTAGTGAAGTTTCTGTACAACAACAGTCATGTAGATTTAATACAATTCCACAATTACTTACTGATAAAATTAAAAATGAAAATATACCAATATACATTTTTGATACTAATATTATTTCTAAATATCTTAGAATAAATAATAAGTTATATCAAATGAATGATGGACATTATGAAATTCCTTATTCTTATATTGGAAAAGATATTTATATTGATGTTATTCTTATCAGTAATGTTATTATTCCGTTTAATATCCATTCATTAAAATTAAATACTTTATATTCTTCTTCATTAATTATCCCTTTAGAATATACAAAAAATCAATGTTTTTATTCACCTAATACAATTCTTATTGATACAAACATTGATAGTGGTGTAAAATTTGAATGGAATGCTTTATCTTTTGATTCATCTGAAACATTAATATTTGTTGATGAAAATGAAGATGGATGGAAAGTAATGAGTAGTACTGATCAAAATACAATTGTATTATTATATTATGATACTCCTCATTTATTTGGAGAAATGTATAGTGAATTTAATATTACAATAATAATTGAAAATAATAATACTATTACATTAAATGATGTTTCACTTATTCTTATAAATGATTTCTTAAACAATAACTTAACAACATTTAATTCATCAATTTCTAATTTATGCAGTAATTTAAATAGTAAAATATATTATTCATCTAACCAATTAATTATAAGAACATATATTCCATTAAATAAATGTACAGGATATTTTAATGGTATTATTTTAAATTTTACAACAATTAATATTGAATCATTTCTTATTACCTCTTCTTATTTAATAGAACGTGAATTATATTCTACTGCAAAATATTGTGATATAAATGCATTTAGTTGTAATAAAACACAATGCTCAGGAACAAATTCTACTATAATAGGAGTTAATAATATTCATTGGGTTCCTGGATGTGAACCAATTTGTGATAGTTGTGCTATTGGATATAGTTGTAATACTGATGGTATTTGTGTTGTTACACCAAATCATAATACAAGAAATAAAGGAGTATCAATAAAGATTGTTATCACATTGCTTATCATTTTAATTATACTACTTTAATAATATATTTTTAATTAAATTATAAAATAAAAAACATTGAAATAAAAATTAATGAAGAAAGAATCGATGTTAGAGAAGAGAACTATGTTAAATTTTCTTAATTGATAATTGTCTGAAATACTTTAAAACAATGTTGTTTCAATGTTAGCAGAAATGACATTAAGAGAATTATGAATCCAATTTAATTGGTCGTTAATCATCTTCATGTTTTGATTTAATTGTGGGTCTTTACTAAGATTTTGACAAATTATTTGACATTTATCTAATTGATTCTTAGTATTTTCAACTGATGTTTTTAAGAATTCTTTTGCATTATCTCGTGTTGGAATTCCATTAAACTCAAGCATAGGTGAATCTCCAATAGCTTGAAAAAATGAGTTTTGTTGTTGTATTTCTTCTTTAGCTTCTTTAATTCCTTGATCATCATTTTCTTCTACTAAACTACTTTTTTTCTGTTTAACCCATGGACAATCTTTTCTTCTTAATTTCCAGAAATTAGGTCTCTTTAATGTTAATGTTCCACTTTGAAAAAATGGTGAATGACTAAGTCCATCAAGAAATGCTTTTTTCCATCTATTTGGATTAGTTTTAAATTGATCTAATTGCCCAAAAATATGCCAATGAGCTGCAACAAATCCATGAATATCATCTTTTAATGAAAAATAAACTGTTCCTTTATGTAGTTCCATTAATGAATATAATATTACTCGACAAATCAATATCCATGAAACTGGTCGTTTAACTCCAAAAACTTCCATTCCATGTTTACATAATGGACATAAACATAGTTTTAAATGATACTCTTCTTCTTCTGGTATTTCTGGAGGAATTGGTGTTGAATCAACCTCATTAAAAACAGGGGTGTTACAAGGTCGTTCCATTTTATTTTAATATTATAGTTTAACAAAATACTCTTTTTTCTTTTTGTTTTTTTTTTTTTTAATGTTTAGGCAATATCTATAAAATAAAATAACAAACTTTTCGTTTCGTTTTGATTTTTAGTATTTAAGATTTCTGTCTTTTCGTTATTAAATTCGTTTTTTTTTTAATTTAAATGTGATATGATTTTATTTAATTGTTATAAAAATGATAAACAAAAAAAAAATAACATAAATTAATTCAATATTACATTGAAAAATAAACATCCTGAATAATGATTTCTACAACTTTGATTTTGTTTGTAAGAAGTTTCATTTTCATTAAGAGTTTTCATTAAAAAATGTACTCCCATTCTAAGATTTTTAAAAGTATCAACTTTTGCTAATAATTGCATTTTCATATCATAACTAATATTTCTTTGTAACTCAAAGTCAGATTTTTCAAGCATACTTTGTGCATATTCATAAGTTTTAATATAACTATTTCTCAATCTCATTTGAATCTCATAGAAATTATCTTTTAATTCTACCACTCTTTTCTTAGTTGATAATGACATCATAACAATAGGTTTTTGTTGACAAAATATAATGTCATCTCTAGAGTATATTACATTTATAGCTTTTGGTTGTAAATTACCTAACCAAGGATTATCTTTGACTCGCAATTTCCAATAACCAGTAGTTTTGTAAGAACTATACCCTGATTCAAAATAGGGTGAATGACTTAGTGCATCAAGAAAAGATTTCTTCCATTTAGATGGATTTGTTAAAACTAACAACAGTATTAGTATTTAATAGTAATTGTTAAAAAGCAAAATAACAATTGTTTATATGATTAAAAGAAAAAAGAAAAGCAAACATTGTTTTAATGTAGAAAATGTATACCAATGATCTGCAACAAATCCATAAATGTCTTTCTTTAAAGTAAAGTATTCTGTTTGAGGATAAAGTTTTGTTAAAGAAAAAAGAATGATTCTAATGATGTAAATCCATGATATTAAATCTGTTTTAGTATCACTATAGTTAGGAATTCCATTGATACATAATGGACATAAACATAATTGTAATTGTTTTCCTTGTGAATCTTTAGAAATAGGTGTTGAGTCAGTATTATTAAACACTGGTTTACTCATTGATTTCTTAATGTTAATAATACTGATTTATTAAGTTGCTAGTTCAACCATTTCTTATTCAAAAAGCAATTCCCTTTATTTTATCTATTTCTTTTCTTTCTTTTCTCTATTTTTCATTAACTTTTTTCCATTTTTTTTATTCGTTTCAATACTTTTTTTTTTTCTCCTTCTTTTATCTTCTGTTTTAGATTCATTTTCTGGATTTCTTTTTCTATTCACTCGAAGTGATCAGTCAATTATTCTTTTCTTCTTACTTTTGTTTTTAGTCCTTAAAAGAAACCTTGGGGATTTCACCATTCATGAACAGCAATCATAACTTAAGGGATTATAAAAACAATAAAAAATTATGAAACGTTTCGAATCCGTATTTATGATTATCGATGTTATTTTGTTTATTATTGTTTGGGTAACATTTTTTGGTATTATTGTTTATTTATTTTATCCAGCTCTCCCACCTGAAATTTATCCAACCCCAACAATAGTAAAACAGTCTGATACTTTTTTTACAATGATTCAGGTTTCAGACCCTCACTTTTCTAAATGGTGGATTAATCATGCAATTAAAAGGATGAATGAGTTTTGTAGTTCAACCTTAAAGAAAACGCAACCTGAACTTGTTGTTGTAACTGGCGATATCACGAAAGGCCAAAAAATTGCTGCTACAAACTATCCAATGCAACATCGAGAAGAGTGGGAAGGTTATAGAACTAGAGTAGATAATGTATGTAAAAATTATTTTTGTAATAATAATTTTAATCAATCAGAAACTGAGTTATTAAATGAAGTACCTAAATGTCTTTCTGATCATTGGATTGATGTTCGTGGAAATCATGATAGCGATGGAATGATATATGGTGTTGAAGAAAAAAATTATGCTAAAGACTATCTAATTTCTGGAGACCAAAAATTGATTGTCCGAGATATCATCAAAGATAATCAAACTATTAGAATTATTTTAATCGATATGTTTCAAGAAACTTCTTTACCTGTTGATGGGGAAGGAGTAGTCAATATTTCATTATATAATATAATAAAACAAAAATTAACTGAACGAAAAACAACTCACACAATCCTTGCTGGACATTACCCAATTAATTCAGTTGTTGTTGAAGAAAATAATACTTTACTCAATTGTCTTAGAAAAGACTTTAATAACAATCTTCCTTTTTCGATGTATTGGAGTGGTCATTATCATCAAAAAAATTTATATGTTTATCATAAAGGTGGGATTAGAGAAGTTGAATGTCCAACGATGGAAAATAATGTTGTTCATATTTATGTATTTAAAGATGGATTTATTTATGACAAAGATTTATACATTTACAAAGATACAGTTTTATTATTAAAACCAACAGCACAAAAGTATTACAATCATAATTCTGCATTTGAAACAATTGAATCCTATTCTAAGTTTGAAGGAATTGTTTTTTCATTACAAAAAGTAAAAGTAGTTAAATTATATATTAATGGAGAAGAATATTGTCAAATGGATCAAAATAATAAAGATATTCGTTTGTATCAATGCGATGCTCAAGAATATTACTCAACTCATCAAAGAATTTATAAAGCAAAACTTCTTGTTTTATTTGAAGATGACTCAATTCAAGAAGATGAACAAGAAATGAAAGAAACGTTTAATCACAGAAAATATATCTTGACTTTTTCTTTTTTTATTCTTACAAATATTATCTTACTTTTTATAGAAATTAGATTAGTAGTGTGTTGTATAATTGCTGGGTTATTATTTAGATTCAAGCCATTAATTTATTTAACTCGATTTGTCCCATTTACATTCATTCGAAAATATAGAAAGATGCCACTTTCTTATTTGTTATTTTTTATTGGTATTTTATTGTATATACACTGTGGGTATATTGTAATTGGAGATATGGGAATGGGACAAGCTGTTTACATAACTTTTAAAACTGTTCTTGTTGGACCTCGTTCAGCTCATTTCCATTCAACAAGACTTGCCATCATTTGTTTTTTAATTGTATTAACATGGTATTGTTGTTATGGAGTTGCTTTGTATTGTATGCAATATCAACTTCAAGCAAATTTGTGTTTTGGGGTTCTTGCTTTCTTACTTGGGATTTTTACAAGAATGGCTTTATTTACTACGGCTGTTTCTTTAATTTTTACCAGTCCTTTTACATACATCATGCTTTTAAATATAGGTATTCTTGTTCATAGCAAATATGGTCATCCTGTCGATTTAAAACTTAAAAAATCAACTCTATCTCAAAAAGTGATCGTTATTTATTAGTTTTTAATTAATTTAAAAAAAAAAAAAAATTAACATCATTTATCTCTTTTCTGAGAACTAATAAAAAATATAAGATGGAGTCAAGTGAGAAGGAATTAACTAAATCTAAAATTACACAAGGATTCGAGTTATCTTTTTCTTTTGACCCTGAAAAGTTAAAAGAGCCATACTCAGAAAGAAAAATTATTTATTGTTCATGTGGGTCTGTTGTTACTTCTTCTCTTTGTCCTTTTTGTGGTAAGAAGTATTCTTCAGTTACTCCTTTAAGAAATGGGTTTGGTTTATTCAAGTTAACCTCTGGGAAACAAACTAGTGATATTAAGACCCATGTCTATTGTATTGATATTTCTGGCTCTATGGAAGGCAATAGAATTTATAGTATTCAATCAACAATTAAAAAAAAGATACAAGAATTAGTTCTCGTACGTCCACAAGATAAAGTTGCTATTGTTTTATTTGAAAGTGATTGTTTTATTATTGGAGATGGAATGACTAAGACTATCACAGTTGATTCGGATTCATCTTTTGAAGATATTCAAGATATAATAAATAAATATCCTACTGTTCATCCAATTTCTGAAAGTTTCGATTCTTTAATGAACAAAATAGATTCAATCAAGACTAATGGAAGAACAGCTTCAATTTCAGGATTATGGATTTCTATATTGTTAGTAATGAAGACAGGAGGTGATGTTTTCTTCTGTACTGATGGAATGCAAAATAAAGGGCTTGGTATTGATAGTGTTAGTAAAATCACCCAAGCTTTAAAATCGCAACATGGATCAACTGTTGTAAATTTGTTTTTCTTTGAAGATTGTGATTCATTTATTGGTTCATTCTCTAGTATTGCAAGCATAACTAAAGGTCGTGTTAGTTCAATCAGACTAGACAACGTCAAAAAAGGAGTTGATGCTGCTATGAAAAGAGAGAATTTAGGGTATGATGTTGAGTTTACTTATAAACATCCAAAAGGAATTGAATTAGACAAAGGAATACAATCAATGCATATAGTTTCTTCTTCAGAAGCAATTCCAATCAGATATACTGTTACTAATCCTGATTTAATTAAAAAAATGTCTTCTCTTAAAGTTCAAGTTGTTATGAAATATAAAGCACCTAATGGATCAGAAATGAAAGCTGTTATTGAGGGGTTAATAGATTTAGTAGAGACTGTTGGAAGTCAAGATGTTAAAGTAGTAATTTCAACAACGTTAAATGTTATTTCTCAATTGGTAGAACAAAATAACTTTAAAGATGCTCGAGATGAGTTAAATAGACTTAAGACTTATAAATTCAATATTAGTGCTGATGAAGATAAGATGTTTAAAGAAACTCTTCCTTATCTTGAATCCTTTATTGAACAAGGACAATCTGGGGCAATTCCAAAAGATCAAGTCGTTGCAGTATTAAATAACATGAGATCAATTAAACCCAGTGATATTTCAACCAAATAACTAATTAATTTATTGGTTTTTTCTTTTTATTATTGGAACACTAAACAATCAAGATTTTCTGCTACTCTGTTGATATCAAAGAAGATAAGTTCTGATTGAAGTAATGCTAAGTTGTGAAGATGAATTGTTTCTGCATTTGTAAGGGCAAAATAACGAGATTGAAGGATAATCAAATTGGAAAGAAATGTTGGTAATGTGATTTGACTTTGATACACCTTTTCAACAATTAATTCGTCAACATCACCTAACAATGAAAAATCTAAAGATTCTGTTTTTATTAATGATTTGATGTGTAAAACACGACAAGTTCGTGGTAATTGTAGTGGGTGAGTGTCTTTAGGATCAAAAGTACATTCTTCCAATGTTAAATATTCTAATTGAGAAAATCGAGAAAGGTTTAATTTACCATTATGTCTTTGAAGTGTTAGTTTTATTATTAAACTATTAAATGGAAGAAAATCATCATTACACGTTAGTTCTTCTAATTGTGGTGGATAAAAATCGTCAATATCAACTGAAGTATCAATAACACAATCATCTAAGATTAGGTGTTTTATTTCTTTATAACTCTTAATAGAGTCTCCTTCTTTAAAGTGATAATGTTTAATCTCGATAAATTTTTGACAAAATTTATTTCTATTTATGTCTTTAGATCCATCAACTTGAATATAAGGAGATAGTTGTTTTTTTATACTTTGATCATTTTGTTTCTTTTGAATTTGAAGTAGACGGAGGTGATAAGGATTGTTCAAAGAAGAAATATCCTTTTCACTACAAAAAATAAGATTAAAATTGATTTCTGTTAATTTTTGAAGATAAAGAACTTGTTGTAATTCGTCAATAGAATTACTTTGAATAATTAAAGTAGAGACGTGGTAAAGTTGAAGGGAGTTAATAAAATCCATATCAATAGAATTAAGAAATATCAATCTAACATAATTTAATTGGTGTTTTTTAAATAAATATTGTTTAACCTTATTTTCTCCTTGAAGTATTATAGTTGCTCGTTGAAGTGATTTGAAATTAATTAATTTAATTGGATCTTCTCCATCATATCGTATTTCAATAAAACGATTTTTATCTGATTTGTCTATGTCATCTAAATCATTACTAATGTTAAAAGTTTTGATAGCTAGCTTTACATTATGGTTATTGCTCATAACCAATTGCATTTGAGAAGAATTTCCATATAATTCAAATACCCTTAATTCTTTAAATATGTCTAATTCCTTTAAAAATGCTTTCTGTTGAAAAAATACATTACGAGGATATTCTAATGGACAAGGAGGTGGTAGGTAATTAGGGCTAATCTCTACTTTTTTTAAAGTTGATGTAAACTTTTTATTAACTTGGATAAATGTAAATACTTCTCTATAATGACTTAAATAAGGAATTATTTTTAATAATGACTCAATATTTAATTTTCCATATTCTTCATATTCTTGATAATTCATTTTAAATTAATTAGATGTTACAATATTATGAACCTTTGGCTTATGTGATGTGGGGCTTTGTCAATATGATGTGGTTCCACATTTTTTATTTCAAATAGTTTATTATTATATTCTTTTTTCACAAATAAGTTGCAAGAGTTTTTCTTTTAACATTTTTTTATTTACTTGGTGATGGTCATTGTTTTAATAGATTCTTTGACATTAATAAAGTTCAAATTGACTTTAGATATTTGTAAAATTTTATTATCTTCTTTTTTCTCTCTTTCTTGAATTTTGTTTAATGAATTTTTGTAATGATATTTCATTCTCACAGATTTGTTTATTTCTTTTTTTCTTTATGACTTATGATTTCTGTTTGTATCGTTTATCGTTTGTTTCTTTTTATAAAACTGGATGAAGAAGAGCATAATACAAAGTTTTGAAATTCAATAAAAAGTAAATAAAATGATTATTATTGATTCTTTTATTGAGTTGATGAATTTTATTTTATTTTTCCTGACTATTAAAAGTATGTTAGATAAAGTCAATTACTTCAAAATAAATAATCGATTTAAAAGTATCAACGATTTTGTTGCTCTAATTTAAATTGAAAGTATAATACAAAATTATTTATACCAATCTAAAAAATCAATTCATTAAAGGAAAAGGAAAGTATTTTGTTGGTTAATCCTCTTCTTCCATTTTTTCTAATTCTTCATCAAAATAAAATTGATCATCAGCATCATCTTCGTCATCATCTTCCTCTTTTTCCATTTTCATACGTTGTTCTTTTTTCTTTTTTTGTTCTTCTTTTAATTTTTGTATATTTTCACTTCTTTGTTGATCTGCTTGTTTTACTTTTTCAGTATTTTCTTTCATCCAAGCTTCATCATCATCATAATCATACAACCTATACAAGCATTTACCTTTCATGAAATCACTGTTAATAGATAATAAATGTAATTTTAATCTTGGTCCAATATCAATTAATTTAACATAACTCTTTTGTTTTTCAATATTTTCTTTACCCATTTTATTTACAGGTAAAACAACTTTTTCTTCTTTTTCCTCATCTTCATTATTTCCTTCAATATCTTCTCTCTTAGAATCTCTAACACGAATAACGTAATGCCTTAATTCTACCATATCAGTTTCTTTGTCATAATTAAATAATAAAGCTCTTCTATATTTTTTTATTTTAGCAACTGATGCTTGAATTGGTGGGAATAATTGTTGTAAAACAATTCTTAATGTTTTTAATTGTTCACCTCCTTGATTAAATCCATTCAAAATAAGTAATGGAGATGTTGTCATTTCAGGTGAATTTGGTGGGTACATAATTCCTGAACTTTTTTGAATATCTTTTCTTAATGTATATTCTTCTACCTTAAATAAACAAGTAGGACCTCTTGGCAATTTACCAATTCTTAAATGAAGTCCACTTGCTGAATTTGAATAAATTAACATATGTGAAACACACATTTCCATTGCTGCAAATTTTAAATCACTTAATGTATTTGATGGTCGTTCTTGTAAATTAATAGCAGTTAATGGAAGCATAACAAATCTTGTATCTTGAACTAATGCTTTGCTTGATTTTCCTATTTTTCCTCTTCTAATAACAAAAGATTTTGGTAATTTTTTATATTCATTCTCTTCGTTTTGAAGTTTAATTGCTTTACATTCTTTAGCTGCTTTTTTCGCTGCTCGTTGTTCTCGATAAGTTTTTTTACTTGTTTTAGGCATTTTCTTAAGTAAATGAAATCCTTTGTTTTTCAGTTGCCCTTTTTTTATTATTTTATTATTTTATAATTTATTTTTACTATAAAACATTGTTTCCTTCCTTTTTTTTATTTTTTAGATTTATTTTTTGATTAGTTTTTCTTGTTGAAGATCTTATTCTTCAACAGATGACTGACCACGAAGAGACATCAACACAAAAAACAGTTAGTTTAAGAGACACAAACAATTTAAATCAACTATTGAATGAACTTGAATCACATTTCCTTCCAATGAGATCACGTGGAAAAAAAGAAGTTGATATTGGAAGGATTCAACAACGACCTCATAAGATTGGAGAGTATCCTGGGAGTGTATACATTGAAATACCAATAGAAATAAGAGATAAAATTATGGAAAAAACAAATCAATTTAGTCAAGATTTTAAACCAATTCAATCACTTCACATTTCATTAACAAAAGAATTCAGTTTACGTGAACACCAAATTCCTTTATTTGTCCAAGAAGTAAGAAAAAAGATGAAAACTATTCCAACTTTTAATATTACTTTTGGTCAATTAGAATTATTATTAAATCCTGAACAAAATACAGAGTTTTTATCAATACAAGTAACTTCTCCAGAAATTCTTTTATTAGTTGATTTACTTGACACCATCATGACTTCCTTTAATTTAGAAAAATATTATGAAGAACGTAAAATTCATTCTTCATTAATGTACCGAACTGAACATTTAAAAGATTCATATGACTTATCATCATTTGATAAGTGTTTAGTGAGTTTTAAACCAGCAACAATAAAGATTAGGTTAGGAGAAATTGTGTATACTTGTGTGTTAGGTGGTCATTCAATGTAATACTATAAAAAATAATAAAATTTATTATTTAATTTATTATAAATTTTTTAAATAGAAAAAATATTGTTTTGACATTCAATGACAGAAGGAGTAAAACGGGTTTTACCTTCATTTAATATTTTACCCAAAAAAATGAGTCATGACCAAAAACGGTTTCAAGTATTTGAAAGTTATAATGAAAAAAAAGTGGTAATAGAAACAACTAAACAACCAGTTAATGAATTAATTGAGCAAATAGAAAATAAAGAACTAAAGACAAAACTCTCAAAAGAAGTAAAAAATCTTATTGATGAATTAACACAAGAAATCTGTGATCTTAAAAATCAAATAAAAGTATTAGAAAGAAAATGTGAAATATATAACATACAAGAACAAAATAATCTTATTAGAAGTCAGTCACAAAATGATGAAATTACAAAACTAACAGATACAAAAGGTAATAAAGAAATTATTTCAATGGAATGTGAAACAAATACAACAAATATTTTATTAGAAGGATATAAAGATACTCCTGTAGATTCAAATCTATTAGAAATACAAAATAAAAGAAGAGAAATTGCTGATAAACAAATTAATGAAGTAGCAAAATGTAAATGGATTGAACAAATGTTTGGAAAAGGGTGGGATATGATTGAAGTAAAAGAAGATTATCTGTTGAGAATACAAAACGAAATAATAACACAATTAGAATTTGAAATATCAATATGTATTGTTATATTTGATGGATACGGTAATGTTATTGGATTTGAAATAGAGGGAATGAATAAACTTAATTATTATAATGAAATACATGATGTACAATGTACATTATTTTCTCTTTATGATGAAACAAAAGAAGAAATGAATTGTAAAAAGTATCAATTAAATGAAGATAATAATATTATTATATTATTTAATAAAAGTGGAGAAACTATATGTAAAGTTAATGTAAATGGAAAAGATATTATTAAAATAGGACTTCCTATAATACAATTAAGTTCAATTGATATTGGAACGATAGATATTAAGGATAATAATGTTTATAAATCATTTATAAAATTTATTTCACATCAAGATAAAGAAAATGAAATTGATATTCAAGGAATTTTATGCTTTTATAAAAATAATACATTGAACAAAAAAGAAAATGAGGATTTTATTACAAGTTCTTTTAATAAAGAAAAAAATAGACATAATGATATTGATGATGAACAAGAAGTAGATGATATTTTAATTACTATTATTCAAGAAATGTCAGAAAAAAATGAATGGGAAATGATATTTTCATCAAAAACAATGAAAGAAACAAATAAAAATTTTAATACAAAGATAATAAATCAAAAGAATTTATTAATTAGTTTACAAACAAAAGAAAATGAGTGGATTTGTATTTATATTGAAGATAAAATAATAAAAAAAGAATTTAATCAAATAACAAATAAAACACATTTTATTTATTCAACAAAAATGAAAAAAAAGTATCAATTAAAAGATGATATAATCATTTCATTTTCTCTTCATGATAATAATTGTTCTTTATTTACTCTTGGAAATAGAATTGGTTTTATTCATATAACAAAAACTAACAATAAAAGGTGTTGTGTTTCAAGATTATCTGAATTATATAAAGAAATGAATGATAATGATTTATTCAATACTTCTTCTTCTATTAATAAATTTGAAATACATCAAATTATAATTCTTAAATTGAGTTAATTGATTTTATTTTATTGTAAATAAATTAAATTAATAATAATAAATAATTCTCTTGAATACAAATGGAAATTAAATTATAAATTTGATTTAAATGATTCAAATTTTTCATTTCTTTGTTGGATAAATTGTTCTATAGTATTCATATCTATTCCTTCATCTAACTCTAAATGTTCACCAACATTTTCAATAACATTTACCATTTTATCACAAACTTCAGAAAATTGAGGACGATCTTCAAATGAATGTGCCCAACATTCAGTAATTAAAGTTTTTAATGGTTGTGGCATTTTATTATCAATTTTAAGTCTTTCTCCATTTTCAACAAATCTTTTAATATCAAATAAAGATTTAAAATCTTTATAAGGTTCATCTTGATAAAATATTTCCCATGCAGTAATTGCAAATGAATAAACATCTCCTGAAAATGTATAATGATCATGATAACATTCTGGAGCAAGATAAATTGGTGTACCAAGTCCTTTATCTGTTAATTTATTAGTTTTTTTAGTAAATCTTGAAGTACCAAAATCAGTAATTTTAATACAACAACTTGAATCAGTATATAAAGAATTAACTAAAAGATTATCAGGTTTAAGATCTAAATGCATAATTCTATTTTCATGTAAAAATTCCATTCCTCTAGCAGTATCAAATAACATTCTAATTTTTAATTTATATGGTAATCTTAAATAATTTGACTTATTTTTTCTTAAATATTCTCCTAATGATCCTAAAACAAAAAATTGTGTAACCATTGATATTTGTGGTATATATGTCACTGATCCTATATAATTCGCTATAAATGGATTTCTTAATTTACTCATTACTTCACATTCATTTATTACTTCATTCTTTAAATCATTCATTTCTTCTTCTGTTAAATTTTCCCATCTAAAAATTTTAATTGCTACTGGAACACTACGATATTCTCCAATAAATACTCTTCCCATAGCTCCTTCTGCAATTGGTTCTTCTGATATATTTAATTCATCCATATCAATATGAGTAGAAGATGCAGCTTCAGTAGCAATAACAAAATTACCATGACAATGAAGAGGAATATTTTTTAATTCTTTTTCCATTTGTAATTGATCACTTTGGTTCCAATCATTAAATGTTTTTTCTTTTAATAAATCAGCAACTTTATGAAGATGTCTTCTTGAATTACTAAACCAAACAGTATAAGGAATACATACATTTTTTATTTTTGTGGTGCAATGAAGAGTCATAAAAACAACAATATCTTTACTTCTTCTTGGACCAAGAATTTTTACTTGAGGATTAAAATGAAAAACATATTTAGGATTATTTGGTGTATGAAAAATAATCATCATATCTTTCCTTTTTGATAAATTCTTTACATGTATTTCTTGGTACCTTGTTTCAAATATTTCTGTTGGAATTTCTGAACGACCAAAATCAAGACTTAATGGTGAAATTGAAAATTTAAGATTTTTACTTAATTCAGGTGAATATCTTTTTGATCCACTAATATACATGTAATATGGAGGTTGTTGATTTTTCCATGTATCATCATTAAGAAGTAATTGAATAGAATGTGAGAATTTATAAATAATAAATCCAATAATTATGAGAATTATAATTAATAAAATAACACAACATCCACAAACTATTCCTGCAATTGTTCCTGATGATAATTTTGGTTGACATGATTGTTGAATACTAGAAGATGGAATATATTTACTACTTTCACATTTACAATATTCATTACAATATTCTCCTCCATCACAATCTTCTCCTTCATCTCTCATACCATTTCCACATGTTTCAAGAATACATTTTTCATTAAATAATTTATACCCAGATTTACATTTACAATCTATATCACAATTTAAATCACCATCAAAACAATCTATTGTTTCGTCTTTAATTCTTGATGTACAATTATAAGAAATACATCTATGATTAACTAATGTGTATCCATCTATACATGAACAATTTTCAGAACAATAAGAACTTCCAAAATAACATTGATTATCTCCTTTATTAGTACTTGGCTGCCATTGGTCATTATAATAACATAATAAATGACAATCACTTCCACCATATCCTTCTTTACAAATACATTTTTCTTCAGATATTGAACAATATCCATTTCCAATATCATTATGACAATTACTTGGACAAATAACTCTTAATGATACAAATATATCCAAATTATGTTCTTGAGTAATAAAAGTAAATTTTCTAACTCTGTGTGATGGTTGAACAAGAAGATAAATTCCAGTATTTCCATTTACATTAACATAATTCCAAAATTGAACACACTGCTTATCTTCATTTTCATCCCAATCATATTCTTCAACATAAAGTACTCTATTATATCGTTTGGTTGTCATTAACATTACAGCACTAATATTAAATTCATATTCTAAATCAATCATTTTACCAAAAATATGTGGCATACAAACAGGATATCCAAAATATCCTTCTGATGCTAATGGTAATTGAACAGTTCCTGTACGTTTAACTTCAGCAAGCATTTCAAGAGTATCTCCTGCAATATAATATCTTACTCGTTCTGTTGGGTTTTCAGTAAATGAAAATGAAAATATTAAATCAAGTTCTTCTGGTAGAGAGAAGAAATAATAATACATTGTATCGTCATTCATAAACATTTGTTTTGGCATTTGGAAATGAGGATATGATACACTACCTAAACTAGAATATCCAACACATAATTTATTTCCAAGATGTTGTGAAATAATATTAATGGTCATAGTATAATCAAAAGAATCTTCTTCTCCATTAAGATCAGTTACTGTAAAATTTAAATAAATAGTGTCATTTTCCATTGCTTTAGAATCAAATTTAACCCAAAATCCTTGAACATAACCTCCATGACCACAAGGGGTTTTTCTATATGGTTTATCTTTATTAAAAACATAAGTATAACTTTCATCTAATTTTAACTCTATTACGTTTGTTGGTATATTATCACCGTCATGTACTAACGCTCGTTTTTCACACCCATTTACGGTCATTACATTAAGAGTTGTTGACGTTGAATCAAGATTGTCGTTATCACAATAAAGACACGACCCATCTTGTTCATATCCTTCTAAACATATAGGACATGTATATTCTGCAATACAATTTGAGGCACTACCACATCCAAGAGAACAATTGTACTGACTAAAAACAATACAGAATAACTGAAATAATATCAGCACAATCATTTGAAATGAATTCTATTTAATCTTAAAATATTTATTTATCATAATAACATTTTGAAATAATTTCTTTTATTACAATACGATTCTAAATATAATATACTTTTATTCTTTTATTTAAAATTCATGTTTTTTCCATCGATCACTACTTTTTAAAAAAAAATTCGATGAATAAAAACAGTAAAAAATATTTTACAAAAAATTAAATTCATTATGCTTTTAAATTTTATGCCTCTTCCTTTTTTTTTGAATGTATTTATCTAAAAATATATAATAGTGGAAGTTTGATATGTAACGTAACACTTATTATTCTTCTTAAAAAATTAAAATTTTAAAGTTACTTCTAACTTAGTTTCAAACAAGGAAATAAGATGAATACTATTTAATTAAAAAATAATTATTAAAAATAATTGTTATTTTAATAAAACAGTTTTTTTCAGAGTTTTTTGATGGAACCAATAAGAAGAATTATCTTAAAAATTTGTAGTTTAAAGATGAAATTAAGTATTGGATATGATATTGGCAGTTCATCAATAAAAGGGTCATTAGTTGATATAGAAAATGGAATATCTTTAATAAGTGATTATTATCCTAAGAAAGAAATGAAAATTCTATCAAAAGAAGATGGATTTGCTGAACAAAATGTAGAAGAATGGTGGAAGAATATTCAACAAATCACTCAACAAATTGTTTCTTTTATCGAAGAACATGGACTTTCAATTTCTAATATTGTTTCAATTGGTATATCTTATCAAATGCATGGAATTGTTTTAATTGATTGTAATGGAAAGGTATTACGTGATGCAATTATTTGGTGTGATTCAAGAGGTGTGTCATATGGTTGTGATGCAGAAAAAAAACTTGGACATGATTTTTGTTTAAAACATTTATTAAACCTTCCTGGGAACTTTACAGCAACAAAACTGGCATGGATAAAAGAACATGAACCAGAGGTTTTTAATCACATTTATAAGGTATTACTTCCTGGTGATTATATTGCTTTTAGAATGACAGGTAAAGCAACTACAACACAATCTGGATTATCAGAATGTATGTTATGGGATTATGAAAGACAAGAAATATCTAGTGAAATGATGAATTGGTTAGGATTAAGAAATGATCAACTTGGAGGTATTGTTCCAACATTTGGAATTCAAGGTAAATTAATAAAAGAAGTTGCAAATGAACTTGGATTGATTGAGGGTATTCCTATTACTTATAGAGCAGGAGATCAACCAAATAATGCTTTTTCATTAGGTGTATTAAATCCTGGAGAAGTTGCATCCACAGCAGGAACATCAGGAGTCGTTTATGGTATAACTGAATGTCCAATATATGATGAATTATCAAGAATTAATACATTTATTCATGTAAATAATACTCAACTTAAACCTAAAAATGGAATATTATTATGTATTAATGGAACAGGGTGTTTATATTCATTTGTTAAAAAATTACTTGATAGTGATTATGAAACAATGGACGAACTAGCTGAACAAGCCCCTATCGGAAGTGATGGTCTTGTTATTCTTCCATTTGGTAATGGTAGTGAAAGAATGTTACAAAACATTTCTATTGGATGTTCTATTGAACATTTAAATTTTAATGTTCATAACAAACAACATCTTATCCGAGCAGCACAAGAAGGAATTGTATTTGCTTTTGCATATGGAATTGAACAAATGAGAAATATGGGAATGTCAATTACTACAATTAAAGCATGTTATACAAATATGTTTCAAAGTAAATTATTTGTTAAAACATTATCCGCAGTAACAAATACAACAATTGAACTTTATCAAACTGATGGTTCATTAGGAGCAGCATTAGCAAGTGCAGTTGGTAGTGGTTATTTTACTTCATTAGACCAAGCATTAAATTCATTAAAAATGGTTAGTAAATATACTTGTTCAATGAGTGAATCCATAGAATATTGTCAAGCTTATTCTCATTGGAAGCAAGTTTTGAATGAACATCTGTCACATAGTTATTAATAAATCTTTAAAATTGAATAGAATTTCTTTTTTTTTTATAAATTCCTTTTATAACAACAAAAAAAATCTAAAAATAAAAAGAAAAAAAATAATTTGCTGAAAAATCAGAAAACTCTCAACTTGGAAAAAATGAAAAATTATAATAAAATTTATTATTTATATAATAAAAAGAAAAAACTAAAAAGAAAAAAAAAACGAAAATAAGACAAAAAAATATAGTTTGATAAATAGTAAATAGAATTATAAAATAACTAAAAATTAATGAACTAAGTTTCACTCAAAATAAAAAGAAATGTCAGCTGCACCAACAGATGCTAAAAGTGTTAAGTTAGTCGTCGTAGGAGATGGGGCTGTTGGAAAAACATGTTTATTAATTTGTTATACAACTAATGAATTTCCAAAAGATTATGTACCAACTGTATTTGATAATTATATGGCACCAATGACTGTTGATGGAGAACCTATTAATCTTGGATTATGGGATACTGCAGGACAAGAAGATTATGAACAATTAAGACCATTATCATATCCGAATACTGACCTTTTCTTATTGTGCTTTTCTGTTATATCAAGAACATCATTTAATAATATTTCATCTAAATGGTTACCAGAAATTAAACATTATGAACCTAAATGTAAAATGATGGTCGTTGGAACAAAGACTGATTGTCGTAATGATGAGGCTATGGTCAGAAAATTAGCTGATGAAAACCAAAAACCAATTACAACTGAAGAAGGTGAAAAACTTGCAAAAGATATTAAAGCTATTTGTTATATGGAATGTTCAGCTTTAACTCGTTCTGGACTCAATCAAGTATTTGATGAAGCAATTCATATTGTTTTGAATAAAAATCAATCATCAAAGAAGAGCTCAAAGAAATGTGCTTTATTGTGAGTTCATTTCAACCGTCTTATCGGTAATTTAATTGTTCTTTGTGAGTAATTATTCTTTTAATTTCTATCTTTTTAATATAAATATTTTGTTATTAAAACTAATTATATATCAAGTTTATTAAAACAAAATATTTTATCATAATTTTGATCCATTTATAATAAATTGAATTTATATTTGCTTTTATCATATTTCATTGTTCTTGAATATATTGTATTAGTTCCTCTAAGTATTTTAAATATCATATCACAGAGTTTTATTTATGTTTTTCTTTAAAAAACTTTTGGAATGGAATAAAAAACAAAAAAAAGAGAAGATTTGGGACCTTGATTATAAAATAGATGTTTGTTTATAACTACTTGAATTCTAAATAAATAAAAGTAATTAACTTCACAATGAAATATGAAGATAAAATAGAGATTTAAAAGATTGAATGAAATTCATTAAACAATATGATGATGATGGGAATTAATCTTCTTTTAACTACTATGAATGTTCTAACCATATATTTTTTTTTAAAGTTTCATTCAATTTAAAAAAAGAAAACTAATTTCAATAAAACTCTGTAGAAAAAAACAATAAAAATATTATGTATCTTTTATTCATTAATTGATTAAAGGTGCAGCGAATAAAATTAGACAAAAAAAATGGAGAATGATTTGAAATAGAAAATGATAATCATAAAAATGAAGAAAAAGAATAAAAAAGAAAGATATTGGTAAGATTGGTAACCAATAGTTTCTTGATTAAGATTGGAGTTATGGTTTTGGCTAATACTCAAAATTTTAAGCAAACTAAATGGGTTAAAAACTAAAATAAGAGAGAAGACGGCATTATTTTCTTTGAAAAAGAACTAAAAATAGTGAAAGTTAAGAACTTGTAAGTAAGTAAGTAAGGGTTAGTATAATTTCTTTGATGGAGCCTGACAAATCATCGAAACTAAAATAGAATTCTCCAAAGTATTTAAAGGGAATAAACTTTTATTTATAATCACTGTTTCATATGTCAAGAGCAACTAAAGTCCAAAAGAAAAGTGATTCTGAACGTCTCTGTGAAAAATACTTTGAAATTCGAAATTACTTAATGTGTCAACAAGGAGTTCTTCTACTTCTTTTAAATCAACACTTTGATATTACTATTACAAGACCAACAAAGAAATCATTAGTTACAGGACAAGTTATTAAAGTTAAAACTCTTAGAGATAAATTTGCTGAAGTTGATGTAGTAGATTTTGTTGAAGAACGTTGTAAAGAGAAAATGAGGGTTGATATGGCTAATGGAATAAATGAAATAAGTGCATGTAGAAGGTATACTAACAATAAAATAGCTGAAAATCATCATCTTCTTCTTGATATGTTGAGAATGTATGGAATTACTTTTAATACAACATTTTCTTCTGGAAAACACAATTCTACAAAATTAGAAACTATTAGTGAAATATTTATCAATTCTAAAGTCCTCTTTACTAAAAATCAAATTAAAGCTATTGGTAAGGAAATTAATAATTATTTCTTTAATCTTGTAGATAAAGAAAAAGAGGTTGTTTTAGAAAAAAATAACCAGTTTCTTCAATCATTTAGTATATATCACCAGGATTCTTCTTCGTGTTAATTTATGTTTTGAATATATTTCTTAACTCTTTTTTTTTTAATGAGAAACAAGTATCAAAAAATTTAAGTTAGTTTGATAATACTTTTTGATTCTAATTTTTTGCTAAAAATGGTTTTTTATAAATAATTATTTCTAAAAATATAAATCTAACGACAAGGCAGTTATTCTGAAATTTTATAATTAGATATAATATTTTTTAATTAATAAAACTAAAAGTATGGGAACATGATATTACAATTCCATTAGAAAGTACTCTTTTATCCTCTTCATTTTGTTTAAAAGTATTTAATTAACTCATTTTTTTTTGAAAAAAATTTTTTTAAATTAACTTATTCTTAATTCTTTGATTCTTTGAACAACGTTTTGTTCAAAGAGTTGTTTCATTAATATACTGTGTTGTTCAATCTACTACATTAAGTGATCTGCTTCAGACAAAAAATATTCTTGTTGAATATTCATTAAGAAGAACATTTTTATAACTCTCATTAACTGATAAATCAGAAAAACTAAAAAAATCACAAATAAATTTCAGCCCTTTAGTGTTTGCTTTAGAGTTGACTTCTTTGATAAAATCATCTACAAAATCTCCGAGATTCAGTGAAATGTGTTTTTCTTTTTCTCCTCCTCCATATTTAATTCGGATTTGTCCTTTAATTTTAGTGACTTTAACAATTTGTGTTATATCGTCTAACATGACTTGGTCTTTAATTTCCCATTGTTCTCTTTCTTGAGTTATTACAACAACTGCCTCTTTACTAACTAAACAAATAGCCTCTTCTTTGCTTTTTCATTTACACCTTACGCACTTAAATTGTTTATTCTCTTTCATTACACTTTCACAACACCCATTTATTGATTTAGCTTTAACAATAATCATTTTTTTAACTTTTCTTTCTTTTCTAATTCCTTACTTACTTCTTTTGTTTCTTCTTTTTCAATTCTTGTTTCTTGTTCTTTTTTATTTTCTTCTTCTTGGTTTTCTGCTGTTTCTTCTTTCTTTTCTTCATCACTCTTTTTTTCCTTATTAGGTTCTTCTGTTAGCCATCGTAGTGTTTGCCTGAATGAATTTCCCCATCTTGACTTTGTTTGTTCTTTTTCTACTTTGATTTTCCCATCGTCTTCTTTTCCTTCTGTCTCTCCTTTAATCTCTTGTTTTTCTTCTTTGTCGCCTTCCTTTTTTTCTTTCTCTCCATCTTTCTTTCGTTTATCTCTAATTCCTTCTGTGTTCTCCTTTACTTCTCCTCTTTTAAATCGTGAAAATAATCCTCCTGTGACACCAAGACATGCAGGACATTTCAGTGTATTACGATTTTCTATTTCAAATCCTAAGCTCCCTTCAATAAAGTATTTATGATACATTTTATATCCTCCAACCATAATTCCTACTCTCTTATAACCTCTACTGTATAGTTCATAGCACAAGATAGCCATTTCTTTTACTGTGGGATTACCTCCTTCTCCAGATGCGTAGAACACTACAGGTTGTTTCTGTGTCAATTCTGAAAATATTTTTTCTATATTTTCTTTCTTTTGATTATCAATCTCTAATGAAATTGCATGTGTTAAATGTCCTTGTTGGTACTGTTCATTTGATCGAACATCTATCATTTGGAGTGGTTGTTTAAATAGTAGGGTGTAATTTACAATATCGGTTGGTGTCAGTGAGACAACAAATGCTTCTGAAATGTTAGCAGTGTACCATTGTTTGAATTGAGGTGTATTATTCAAACACCCATTAATTAATCCATTAAAGGAGGCTGGACTTTTGGCTAAATAACATTTAGCAATTGAGAGAAGAATCTTAATTTCATCAGATGTATAACTTTTTGATGTGATAAAGTTAAGAACCTCTTCTTGTGTCTGAAGTGTTTTCAATTGATTTCCCATGTCTTCGTAAATAGCAACTATCATATAGAAATAAAGATTTTTATTTTGGAATGTGAATATTCCATCTAAAAGAGTCAGAATTGCTTTAAAGTCTTTACACATTTTAACATTTAAATTAAAAATGAATCGACGAAGTAATTTATCCGTTGTCAATTTCATTTTATCCAGATGAATAGTAACATCAGGGAAATAATATAACAAGATCATATGTGTTAATGATAATAATCCATGCCATCCTCGTGGAAGTAAATTAATGCAAAATCCCATATAGCTATTATAAATCCTCTGTATAAAAGGTAAGTCGATTCTTCCCATAATTTTTTCCATAACCAACACAAATAAAACAATCTCTTCATAGTATTGACATGGGTTTGTATGAATGAGATATAGTGCTGTCTTCTTTGCGTCATCAATTTTATCTTTTGATAATTCAAACTTTGTGAGATATTCTTCAATTGTGATAAGTTCTCCCATTTCTCTTTGTACCTTACACTCAATACCATCTACTTTTGGAATTAAATACTAAGTTTACTGTGAGTCTTTGTTTTAGTTTTATATATCTTTTTATACTTTCTCTAAACAAACTTCATATAATTCAACTCTGAGCTCATCTGGAATTTAGTATTCCTTTGCCAGTTGTGAGACTGTAATAAAATCTTCATCTGCTTTTGCTCGTTGATATAATTCATTTATTCTTTTTTCCATCTTTTCTTTTCTATTTCAAAGATCTTCCTAGTTCTATTGGTAATTTTCTTATTTTAGCTCTATTAAAAAGTAATATGATAAACAAAAAAATACACCTTAACATCTTTATTAATGTAGCTAAAAAATAAAAATAAATTAACACCATGATAATTAAATTAATTATCCATTATAAGTAGCAGCATTAGTAGCTTCGTTTTCTGCTCCAACATATTCTGCATTCTCATTGGTTGTTGTGATAGCATTCTTCATAGCTGATGAAACAAGTTGGTATGTCTTAAACAATCCAATAGAAACAACAATTAATGCAACTACAACAGAAACAACAACTGCTGCTACAGTAGTTGCTGCTGCGATGGCTCCAACATTATTAATTTCTCCTGCGAGAATACATTCAGTATAGTTATTGAGTTGTTGTGTTCTATCTGATTGATTCCAGACACGGCAATTACCACATGCATCAAGATCATAATATTCTGTATCAGTTTCTTCATACATAGTAAGAACTGCTGATCCATCAAGATATGAGCATTGACAATAGAAACATCTTCCTTGATTTGGTGTAATTGTTGGGAATTCTTCTGAGACTGTACATGTTTTCTTGTTATATACTGTTTCACCTGTAGCTGGATCACATGTTGCTGTTTCACATGGATTTCTTGCTTTTGGATCAATATTTGATTTTTCGGTATCAATCTCCCATGTGTGTGTTATTGTTCCATCACTTCCTTTATTCTCAACACATTTATATTTCTTACAAGCATTGTTAAGTTCTACTCCTGATTTAATTCTGAAATAAGCAATATCTAATGATGGATCATCAGTAAGTGGTACAAACTTACAAAAGTATGTTGTACCATCACATTCTCCTGTCATTACTCTACATCCATAATCTACTTCTGTATTTTGATTACATTTTGTTGCATTAATAACAATTGGACAGCTATTATCATTTTGACAAACAGTACCTGCACATTCTACATTTTCTACTCCTTCTTTTCCATTAAGGAATGCTTTACGTGCTTCTTCAATTTTCTTGTTGTTAGTGTCACATGTTGTTTTTGAAGTACTCTTACAGGTTGTTGTTTTTACTCCATCTTTTTCCTCAATAATAATCTCTTGAATTGTACATTCAACTGGTTGACAATCAAAGTTAGGATCAATAATACATTCATTGTTCTTGCATTTATATGGAACTCCTCCATTATTAGTTTCTTCTGCACATAAATCAACTTCTTGTACTTTATCCTTACTTTCAACTAATGAGCATGTTTTACATTCTCTTGTTGTTATTTTGTATGTACAATATGCTTCTTTGTCTGCCTCTTTCATAAATTCTTCACTTTGTGGTAAATGAAGTTTGTATTTAGTTAAATTGAATAATGAACTGTAATGATAAGTAGCTGTAACATATGCTTGACATGGTAAATAGAAGTTATAAATCTTTCCAAAGTTATCGTCATTAGCTAAACAATCAACATAGGTTCTTGGAATACATTGTTCATTAACACAATCTTTTGGAATAGTATAATCATACTCTTTTCCATCTTCTAAAGTAACTTTACGTTCTAATTTTTGATCTTTGCATTTCTCTGTAAATTTACCTCCTTCACATTCTGAACATGCTGGTGTTGGTTTAACAGTTACTTTACATGTTCCTGTTTTTGCATCATAAGTGTATGTTCTGTATGTGGCATCAGCTGGACATGTTAAACTAGAACACTTAGCACAAATGTCATTGTCAGATTTAGAAGTGTCATCTTTATCAAATTCACATGAATAAGATTTGTCTTTTTCATTTTGTTTACATTTACCATTAAAGTTTCCACATTGTGATTTACGTGAACTACAATCATCATGATATCTAATAACATTGTCTGTTCCCATTGAACAATATCCACATCCTACATTAGAAACATCACCAACTGCTTGAACAACACATTCTCCATTCAAACATGTAGCTGAGTAATGATCTTTGCACATAGTTTCAGATTTACCATCATTAGCAAATGTAATCTTAGTATTAGAACAATCAACATTCTCCCAATATGTAGTCTTACTTGTCTTATTACATCTCTTAATAAGACATCCATCTCTAACAAGATCTTCTGTACATTCAGAGACAACACATTGTGGCTTGTCTCCAGTATAATCACAAATTTCGTGTTTATTAGAATCACAATAATTACCATTCTTTACTTTATTACATTTACATTGATTACCAGTTGATGCATCACACTTACATGCTGATCCGGTAGAATCTCCACCACATGATGAATATGTATCACATGATAATCTGTTCTCACACATACCTGTATTGAGATTACATTTAGCTACATAACATGACATTTCAATATATGGTGATGTTTTTACACATACCTTTTCTTGAACAGTACATCTCTGTTGTGAATCACAAACATATTCTTGACAGTTAGTAGTCTTTCCTGTGCATTTGTCTCCATGTTTATCTTTCTTACAAAAACCAGTAGTTTCATCACATGTATAACTCCAACAATATCCATCTGAACTTGGTTTTTGATCTGCTTCACAGTTAGGCTTTTGTTTACATGTTTCAGTAACACTATCTCCCTCACAATATGGTACCATACATTTTACTTTTGGTTCACAAGATTTGTTGTATTGTTTGATAACACATCCTTCAAGATCTCTACATTCATATGAACCTACACAGGTATCTGGACATTCTTTCTTTGCCTTTGGTTTAGCTTTAGGCCATGGAATACATGATCCTGTTTCTACATCACATGATGTGTAGAAGCAATCATTCTCACAACACATTGGACATGTACATCTGTTCATTGCATCACAAAATCCTGAACATTTATTTCTATCACATCTTTCTGTTAAATTAGCTCTAATTCCCTTGAACAATGCATTGATAGTAGTTTCTACTTCACTATTACCTGTAAATTCATGATAATGTGGTCCAAGTGAAACAAGTTTCAAAGCACTACGTGTAATCTTTTGGTCTTTATTTCTATTAAGAACAACAGTGTGGACAGTAATATTATTTCTATCAAATGCAGTTTCTGCATCAAATTCTGATCCAAGTGCCTTGTCCATTAATACAATCATAGTTCCTCTTTTAATTGTCTTCTTTGAAATCTTATCAGCTAAATCTCTCTTAGCGATATTAACAAGTGGATCAACTTGTCCTGATCCTGCTGTGTATTGAGTAAGAGTATTATAATTTAAATTCTTCAAATCAATATTGGCAGTTGCATATGAATCTCCTTTAAGATAGTACAATGTTACTCCTTTTACTGTAGTTAATTGGTTTAAAGTAGATAACTTCTCTTGAAGAGATTTAATAACTGTAGAATCAGTAATACCAAGAATAATTGCAAGATGTGTATCAACATTATTCTTGTTAACATCAAGAATACACTTTGATGTAGTGTTTGTATTATATTGATCAATGAATGCTTTGTTTTCGTTGTTAAATGATCTGAAGGTAATTGATCTTCCTCCAATGAAGTCCATTCTACAAACATCATAAGCTTCTGTTTTTGTTGCATAAGTCATTTTTGTATTTAAATAGACATAAGCCAATGGTCTTTTAGCTGCATATTTGAAGCATGTTTTTCCGTTAATGTCTGCACTCTCAATTTGTTGTTCATCAACTGGAACATTATCCCAATCAATTTCATATTTTTCAATTGGGTATGCATATTCTTTTTGACAAAAATCTTGTTTATCAAGAGTCTTAATATTAGCCAATTGTTGACTGTTAAGATTGTGATCTTCATTAATAGTGTATTTATAACAGTCAGTATTACCATTTCCACTACAAGTAGTCCACACAAAATGTCTCCATGGTTGCATAGCTAAATAATAGAAGACATCATATTGGTTGGTGTAAGAATGATACCATGAACCTGCATTCTTTCCACGAGACATAATACCAAGATCATAATAGTCAATGTCTGCTGAGAATTCGTTAAGTTTGTCAGCAAGACAACATAATAATAAGATATTTAATAATAATAATTTCATATCCTGAAAATTTGAAGTTCTATGAGTTGTTTAAATTTGCTAAACTTTCTTTTTTTTTTTCAGAACTTGTCCTATTCCCTTCTTTTCTTTTCGAATGAAATATATTTTTGGATAATAAAACAACTAAAAACGAATTTACTTTTTTTCAACTTCTTCTTTTTTTCTCTTTTTTTTTAGAGTTATTTGAAATAATTATAAATTATTTCGAAATTAAATTAAAAATAAGGAAATTAGAGTAAAAGTCATCAACATTTTTCAAACTTTGTTTTGATGTGAAAAAAGAAAATATTTTTAGATTAACAAAAAACCTTTTTCTTATTTTATCATTTTATTGTTTAAGTTAAAATGATGCATTTTTCAATCCAAAAAACAATTTCCTTAAATATTATTCTTCACCAACAAGCACAGTTGAGTTGAGATTGATTCATTCTAACTATGCTAATTACAAAGAAATTAAATTACAATTATATCCTGACTAAAAATAAATAGGTTCATAACTTAATATTTTCTATGATGTGTTGTTCTTTTAGTAATTAATTCCATTATTTTTATCCTTTTCATTTTATTTTTTCATTTACAAAAACTGTTATTAAATATTCTATGAATTTGTTCTCTGTAAAATAACAACATTTTTTTCTCTTTATCTCTTTTCTGTTAAGACTTTCTTTGAGTTATGAAAAATACAACTCAACATTCAATTATACTGATACCCTCTTTTATTTACAACAAAATTAAATAAACTCATTGTTGTGGAATAGTTCCTAATTTATTTGAATAACACCAAGTTATCAGTCAAAGAAATAGTTTTTATTGGTATTATTACCATGTTATAATTTATATATACTTCAATAATACAGTACATAATTTAACTATCCTCTAAAATAGGATTTGATAAGTTTGTGTTTATATCATCTTTTCAAAAGAATAAATGATGGAGTAGCTGGATTAATGTTTAGTTAATATGTAGGCACTGGACCAAGGCTCTTGTGATATAATGAAAACAAACTAATAACCATTCCACTTACCTCAAATGAAGGAAGGGGACTTATTTCTTCTAACAAAGACATGTCAGTTCATTGAATTATTTCTGATTCTCATTAAAACAACTAATAAAATAAGTTTTAAAGAATAAACTCCATTTGTATTTTTAATAAATAAAAAAGTTATTGAAAAAGAAAGGGAAAAATTACATTAATACAATGAAATTTGATAAATAAGTAGTAAGTTGTGAATAAAATCAAAGACTTTTAAAGTAAAAGATGATAATGATTGAATTAAATGTATTTAAAACAAAAAGAAATAAAGAATAAAATAAATAAGTAAATAAAATAAAGATAATAAAAGAAAAAACAATTTAAAATGATTGAAAAAATGAATCAAGTTAAGAAAAAAAATAAATCAAAACTCTTTAGTTTCATTTGGTTTATTAAGAGAAGAAGCAGTAGTAATATTTCGTTTGATGAACATTGATTGAGATTTAGTAAATGAAGCTGAAGTAGGGATATTTCTCATTGACTGAGTTTCTCTATTAGGTAATGGACGGAATGGTTTTCTAATAGGTTTTTCATCATGACCGACCAATTTAAAAGCATCATCAAAAGAATTTAAAGAATCAATGTTATCAATTGTAACATCACCCATAACAGAAGGAAGTTTTTTATGAGTTACAAGAAGAGGGGATTTAGGTTTATCATCTTGAATTTTCTTTTGAGGTCTTTTTCTTTTTGGAGCTTCAGGTTTAGGTAAGAGATTTTTAAATAATCCAAGGTCTTGAATTAAATAAAGAACACTTGACCAAGAAATACTAAGAATGAAAGAAATAACAGAATCAATCAAATAAGCATAACCGAATTTATTTAATGAATAAATAATAGCAATAATAATTAAAGTTAATGCAAGTAAAGTAGGAGATTTTAATACATATACTATATTATCAAAAGATAAAAATGCAATTAAAAGAATTAACCACATTGGAGTTTTAGAATGAACAGTAATAGCAGCAAGTTCTTGTTGTGCTCTCATAAAATTAGCTTCAGCCATATTTTGAAATCCTTCATAAATACTAAGTCTTTCACTTAAAGAAAAAAGAACTTTAGTTTGATCAATAACACCATTTTCAGGTTCTTCAATAATCATTTTTTTACCAGTTGCAGGATTAATAGAAATAAAAGAGAAATTATCATCTTTAGGATCCATTCTAATATAAGAAAATAAATCAAGAATTTTTTCAGCTTCAGCTTTAGCTTTAAAGTAAGGTTTACTAAGATCTTCATTTTGTTTCCATTTTTTTGGTAAACCTTCATTATCTAATCTAAAGATAGAAATAAATTTATTTTCCATTAAATTACTAACAAATCCAGGTCTTTCTAATATTGTAGATCTTACAGCATCAATAATATAAACTTGAAGTTCATTTAATTTTTTTTCAACATCATCTTTATTCATTTTTAATGAATTAATCATTCCATTTTCTAATTCTTGAAGATTTTGACTTGTAGTTTCAAGAACAATTTTTCTAACTTGTTCCCACATATTTTTGTTTGATTGTTCAAATAAAGGAAGAAGAAGTGGTTTCATGATATTTTGTAAATGTTTTTTAAAATGAGTCATTAAAGCTTCAATAAGATCTCTTCTTCCAATTTCATATAATTTATTAATAAATCTATCTAATGTATTAATTTCTATTTCAAAATTATTTTCAATATTAGAAGGAACACTTTGAGTTGATATTTTTTCCCATTCATTTTTAATTGTAATATTAAAATCATCCATTTGTTCAGCATATCCAGCATATTTTGTTGGATCAAAAAGAGAAGATTGTTCTGTAATATATTGATTTTTTAAAGTAACATAACTTGTAGTAAGCATTGTTTTAATATAATTAATAGCAAGTGTCATTTGAGTTTGAAATAAATATGAAATTTCATTTAACATTTTTTCACTAAGAAGATCAGCTTTTTCTTTAACAACTCTATCTAAATATTTAGAAGCAATATTCATAAATTCTTTCATTTTTTTATCATATAAACAATCACAAAATATTTTAAAATTATTAAAAATATGTTTTTCAGAATGTTTTATTTTAATTTCTTCTATTTCTTTTTCAAATTCATTAAAAATATTTTCAATCAATTCATCACATCTAAATCTTGCTAACATTTCTTTTTGACTTGGAAGATCAAGATCTTTATTAGATTTAATTGAACTCCATACTTGTTTTGTAAATAATGCTAATCCATCTGCTGGAATTTCTTTATTATAAATACTTCTAAAATAAGTATTTTGATTTTTACAATCAAATCTTTTTTTTAATTCTTTTACTTCTTGAATAAATAATTCTTTATCATGTTTAAAATGAGGTAATGATGTAAATTCTAAATCAAAAAATTTATCAATAGGTGCACGTTTAAAACATTCTGGACGTGCAACATTATCCCAAATTTTCATAATATCTTCTAATAATACACTTTTAGTATTTTCAAATGGTTTTTTTTGATCTCTATCACGAATAACAAAAAGAATTAATGTTTTAGGTGAATCTTCTTTTTGAAATAATTGTAAATTAAGTTCAAATATATTTTTTAATAATGACATATTTGATGCTCCATATCTACCAACATCATGTGACCATATATTAACCATTAAAACACTACAAACTGATAAACTAAATAATGATATTTTTCTTTCAAATGATAAATCATCTTCTCTTATTGATCCATCTGATCCTTCTAAATCCATAATTATAATATCTTTTCTATCTCCAACTAATCCTAACCAAACTCCTCTTGTTGTTCTTTGTCTTCCATTTTTTTCATTTAATACTGTAAAATCTGTATCAAATAAATAATTTAATAATGTTGATTTTCCACTATTTTGTGGTCCAAGAATACTTAACATATTATAATTAAATCCTAATTCTTTAAATTTTGTATTTTCTTGAATAAATTCTTCAAATGTAATTCTTTCTTTTTGATTTTCATCTGCAAAAATTCCTTCTTGATCAATAATTTGCATACATGGATAGTTTTCTTTTTCTTTCTTTTCTTCTTTTATTTCTTTTTCTTTAACTTTTATATTTTCTCTTTCTTCTTCTTTAAGTTCTCCTTGGATATTTTCTGCAATAATATCTTCATCTCTTTTCTTTATTAAATTAACTCTTTTCATATCAATTCCTGGTGTTTTTTTCTTTTCTAAATTATTTTCTATTTCTTCCTCTTTTTTTAATTCTTCTACTTTTAATTGGTTATGAAGTAATTCTGATTCTTGCATCTTTTCCTTTTATTCTTTTTAAGTTTTTTTTTATTTATTTTTTATTTTTTATTAAAAACTAAAAATAATTGAAATTTTCTTTTTTTTTGAATTAGGGATATATTTTCTTCAGTATTCTTTCTCATTATTTATTTTATTTTTCCCTTCTTCTTCTTCTTTTAAATTTCTTTCATTAATCCATTACCCCTTTCTTGTATTACTTCTTTTTGAATTTCATTATTTTCGTCTTTTATAAATTCTTCTGTATTGATACTTATTTGTTGGTCAATATCTTTTCTAATGTAATACAATACATAAGCATTCTTTGAAACAATATTTTCTTTTGTCCCCTCAATCTTTGAAGTACTTGAATCATTAAAATCATACCAATCCTTTCCAACACGAGCAGATGCGACATAATGTCCACCACCAAGAGAACCCATATGATTAGTAACACCATATAAATTATAAATTGGAGGTGTTGTTGGATCATAATGTTTAACAAATCTAGTAAGATCTAATGATTCAATTGGAAAATCAACAAAGGTAGTAATTTTATCACGAGAATAACCACAACTATTACCAAATCTTTTTAAATGAATAATAAGTATTTGATTAGTACTCCAAAGATCAACTTTTTTATGTGATAATTGGTGTTCTTTACATTTAGAACAATAAACTTTATTATTTTCATCCATTAATTCTTCTGCTTCAAATGTTTCAAAACATTCTTCAAGAGTAACAGGATCACCATCTGTTTGATTATAATGATATGACATTCCTCTATCATATAAATATTTAAATACACCATTATCAATACTTTGACATTGAATAATATTTTCATTTTCTTCTTTAAATTCAAAATTCCATTTTTTTTCTTTAATTTCTTCTTTTTCTTTAAGTTCATCAATTTCAATTTTTTGTTCTTCATGTTGATTTTCTAATTTTTTATTATTAAAAATTAATATACTATTATTTTGATTTTCTTTAATATTATTATTCATATCATCTTCATTATCATCATCATCATTATCTTCTTCTTCTTCATGAACTTTTTTATTAGAAATATTTATTTTTGGTTCCCATTCATTTAATTTACTTTTATAAGTATCTTTAAATAATTCAAATAATTTTTCATCAACAATTTCTTTATTAATTGATTTTCCAAATACAACTGGTATTCTATATTGTTTATAAGAAGCATATTTTATTAAACAATCATAAACAATAAAATCTGATTCATCATCTTGTTTTTCAATAATACCATATTCCATATCTTTTTCTAATTTACCATCTTTTATTATTCTTTCAATTTTTTTTTCATATCCAAATTGTACAATAACAAAATTATTTGGATTTGTATTTAAACAAATATCTTTTGTTGATTCTTTAATAATTTCTTCAATATTTTTTCCTTTAATATTAAGTTTAATTGTTTTAGTATTTTGATATTTCTTATCACAAACATAAATTGATACTGAATTTTGTTTATTTGGAATTGCAAGTGATAAGAATACATATGGATCAAATCTCATATTTATATTATGACAAACATCACAAATAACTTTACTTTTAAGTTGTGCTGCAAATAAATCTGTAATAATTGAATCATTTCTTTGTTTATATCTATTCCATTCAGCTATAGCCCATTCATTATCTGGTTCATTATTATAATCAGGTGTTTCAATATATGGTTTTTTTAAAACACGATTTAAATCTTCATGTATTCCATCAATTAAATATGCTACTAATTCTTGTGAATCATGTTGTTGATATCCACTAAATTGTGGTGCAAATTCTCCAATAGCATATTTAAATTCTCTAGGAGTAATAGTAGAATAACCTGACCAATATTTTATTAATAATTGATACCATTGTTCAACTAATTTACCAGATGTTCCTAATGGATTATTTATATTAATTTCTTTTTTCCAATCTTCTTTTTGAAAAAATTGAACTAATGGAATTGTATGAATTAAACATTGAATAGCAGAATTCATATAACATGTATTTCCTAAATTATGTAATCCACAAACACCTTTTATTCCATTTGGTTCTTCTTCATTTCTAATTCCATAATATCCAGAATATCTTGAACTAATATTTGATGCATATGAATAAATTGAATTTATCATTGGTGTTTGTTTTTCAATAATTTGAATATTAACTTTATTTAATTCATTTGAATTAATAATAATTGTTGATACAATATTTTCTAAATTTTCTACTTCTTCTTCTTCATTTTTCATTACTTTAACTTCATAATTTATAAATTTAATATCATTTTGAAATTCTTTTTGTAAATTCTTAATTGCTTTTGAAATTGTAATATTTTTATATACTTCTTTTGTACGTTCAATTATACTTTCTGTTTGGTTAATTCCAATAAAATGAAGAGTAATAGTTAAATGTATTGGAATACTTTCTTTGATAACATATTTTTGTGTTTTATAAATATAAACTTTAGGTAATTTAGGAAATATTATATCTTCATCAAAAAATCCATATAATCTTTTTATCATTTTCTTATTCTTTTTACTAATTAATAAATAATCTATTCCTTCTTTTATTTCTCCTTTAAGATATCCATTTTCATCACTTAATCCCATTATTGTATCTAATTTAGGTAATTTGTATAATTTTTCAATTTCTATTTTATCTTCTTCATGAAATGAACTATATGCAACTGCAGCATCATGAATACTCTTTACAAATGGCACTGGTACTGCAAAATACTTTTTTGTTGTACCATCTTGTATCTCATCCATATAGTTTGATGGAAATTTTCCTTCTTTTTGAAGGTGACTAATTGCAACATAAAATTCTGTGAAAGGATTTGTACTGTACAAATTCATACTAATCTAATAATAAATCAGTTTCAAGTTCTTCCGTTTTAATCTTTTCCTTTGAGGATTAACTCTTACTTTTGAAAGAAATGAAATAAAAAAGAAAATCTAAAATCAAAAAAAAATAAAAATAAAAATCAAAAAAAATAAAATAAAATGAAAAGATAAACAAAATTAACTTTTTCTTTGATGAATTATCTATCTAATTGTCAAGAAATGAACAAAGAAATTGAAATGAATGAAGAGACATTATCTCCTAGTATTCTTATTGAAAATAATAATGAAAATAATGAAATATCATATTCTCAAATAACAACAAAACAACATAATTGGTATAAACGATTAACTATAACAATTGTTTGTGTAATATTGTTATTTAGTTATATATTTACTTATGTATTATTAAAAACAACACCAGATACAAAAGAAATTAAAAAAATATTAATAATAGGTGTAAGTGAAGTATTATTATTAATAATTGTCTTTGGTATTCAAACGATTTTATTATTTCCTTTTGTTCAAGAAAGATTACATAAATCATCAATTATAACAAAAATAATGGAAAAACTTTATTCAAAATATAATTCAAAAAAATTTGTATTTAAATTACCTAATATTAATAAAATGGTTGAAAAATTATATCCACCAATTCCAAATGAAAAAGTAAATAAAACAATATTAAATAGAATGATAGAAAAGTATAGAAAATTTATTGAACAACATTTAGTTTCAATAAAAATATTTTCATTAATATTTTGTTGTATTTCATCAATTATAACATTAATATTAATTTATTTACTTATTCAACAAAAAGATACATTTAGAATTCTTTATATTCAAACATTTGTTATTTCTATTTTAATTATTTCAATATTAATTATTGGATGTATGATAATATCAAAAATAATAGGAATAATAATTATTATATTAAATGTATTAATGTATGTTTTATACAAAAGAATTATTTTTTCTGCTTCATTATTTATTTCAATGAGTCTTATTGGAATAGTAACATCTTTAATTATTTCAATAATTCCTAATTTAAAAACAAATTTAAGTAGTTTTTATTTAGTGAATTATTCAACAACAATATTCTTTACTTTTCTTCTTTTTCTATTATCAATATTTATTTATACAATTTTCTTATGTTGTAAAAATTTAAAAGAATGGAAGAAAATATTAAAGAAATATATATTATCAATATTTAAATATCATTATATTGCTACAACAATTTTTCTGTTTATTATGATAACATCAGGAATTATTACAATATTAAGTTGGAGAGGAACTATTCTTTATTTTAAATCAATTATTATTCCAGATTCTTTTAATGCAGTTGAAAAGAATTCTCCCATAAAAATTTCAAATATTCCAATAATAACAAGAGATATTGAAGTAATAACATTTGGATGTGGAAAAGAGAATTATTATAGAGGGTGTTATGCTAATCCAACTATTAAAACACCAACAATTGATATGTCTAAATTTATTGAATTATCTATTACATCTCAAGATTATTATCATTTAAATAGTAGAATAATTCCTTTAAATGGTAAAGTTTATTTTCCTAAAGATATTCTTCAATTAAATAAAACATCACATTTTAAATCAGTAATTATTTTACCACATCAACTTGGAAATCTTATTAATAGTGATGATGGATATGATTATCTTCAAAAAACATTTGCACAAAATGATTTAATTGGAATTGTTATTGATTCATCATTTTTTGATAAAGATTCTAATGATAAAACAATTATTAGTAAAAATTCTAATCTAACAATACAAGAAGCTTATATTGAAGCAAGAAGTATTTTAACATATAATATTCTTCAATATCTTAATATAGCATTAAATAATTATTTTAATTTTACTATTGATATGTCAGAAATTGGTATTGTTGGAGATAGAGATGGTGGTACAGTTGGAATAAGATTAATAGAAGTAATGAATAGAAATAATAAATTTCCAATATTATTAAAAGATTGGAATATTATAAATATTAAAATTACTTCATTTAGTGGATTATCATGTAATCAAACAATAAAAAATAATATATTAAATGAAATGCAATCTTATTTTATTGAAACAATTCCATCTATTAGTATTTATCCTAATCCATTTTTATCAAGTTATGTAATTTTTGAATCACCTGATTTAATATTTATAAATCAAACAAATATTTTAAATTATAATAATTCATTGTATTATACAGGTAGTTTATTTATTCAACGTGCAAATCCTAATGATTTAAATATAATTTATGAAGAACCAAATAATCATATTATTCTTGATAAAATTTTTCCAATTCAATCTAATTATATTTCAAAAAATCAACTTAATTATATTGTTTCTCTTTTTATTGGAAGTCATTTTATGTGTAGTTTAAATTTTAATTGTATTAATTATAAAATGTTACAAGATTTTAAAATTGCTGATGAAGTTCTTCCTATGAATTCTGGTTATTTTAATACATTTATAAGTAATAATGATATATTAATAGATTCTAATGGAAAGATTTATTCTAATATTACTATTTCTACTAATTCTTCATATATTGGACTTTATTATCAAAATGCTTATCAAAGATTTCATAGAAATCTTCAATGTCATAAAAAATGTTCTATTAAATATTTATTTAATATTCCAATTTATGCAAAAGGAATAAAATTTAATTTTTATCAAGTTGGTAGTTCATCAAATTATAATAATGCAGTATTTATTCATTCAAATAAAAATATAAAAGAAATAGCTAAATTTAAATATGCAGGTATTCCACATTCACAATCATCATTTACATTAAGTAAAGTATATTTTTTACAATTATTTGAATTTGTATTTAATACACAACAACAACAACAATCATTAGAAATTGATGAATTAGAAATTCTGTTTGATGGAGAAATATTATTAGATAATGTTGCTATTTTTAATTAAAAGATTTTAAAGAAATAAACAAATAATTAAATTATTGACTATTTTTTAATGCATTATGTAATATTTGTTTAGTATTTAATGAACGTAATTCTGCTATTCCTTTTTCTAATTCTTCAATTACTTCATTTAAAATTATTGGAGTCATTTCAAAATAAATTGATTTTCTTAATGAACTTAATGCTACTTTAACTGATCCATCTGATTGTATTACTTTCTTTTGGTCTTTTTTTGCTAATGTAATATCTGCAACATCAATTCGAATAATAAATTGAGGTTGAATTAATTTATATACATTTTTATATGATAAAACAATATCTAATCTCCAAGACAAATCAATAAAAATAGGTTTATCTTCAATATTAAAGTCATCACTTTTTATTAATCTAACAACATATCGTTTATTTACTCCATTAGATTTAGTAATAACTTCTTTGTTTTCCATTTACTTACAAATTCTTTTTTAGTTTATTTTTTATTTTTATTTTTTTTTTAAATTTTTGTTAAATAACAATTAAAGATAAAAAGAAAAGAATGAAGTAAATCATAAATTAGTCTAGTAGTTAAAAGAACGTACAAAGAACATGATTTTACTTTTATTAATTTACACTATAATGTTGTTTGTTTTCATCTCGACGAAGTTTATTTTGAATCTTTTTATAATATGGTGTATTTCTTATAGTAGATAAATGAGGAGTAATCCAATTTGATAATTTTGAATGATATTCAACAGCTAAAATATTTAAATATGAATTTTATTATTATAAAATAAATATTTAAAAGAAAACAAACAACTTTGGTCTAAACATGTTTGAATCACATAATTAGCATATGAATCTTGTAAGAGTTTAGTTACATCTTTAATTTGTAAAAATTTATCAAATATCATTTGTCTTACTTCAATTTCATCTGAACGTATTAATTTTTCAATTACATTTGATGAAAATTTTTGCATTGATAAATCAATTAAATCATTAAGAAGCATTTTTGTTACATCAATAATAACTCCTACAATATCTACATTTAATATATATTGTACAACATAATTTCCAAATGCATCTTTAACTAAAATTAATGAATTTTTTACAATTTCATCTATTAAAGTAATTAATTGTTGTCTATTTCCATAATCAATACATCTTTGAACAACACAACATCCATGTTTATGAGTTGCTACTTTTACTAAATTATCATCATTCACAATTGTATCAAAAATAAACCCATTATCACTTTTTCCAAATGTTTTTAAACATTCTTGAATAACATGATTTCCATTTGAATCAAAAATTAATTCAATAACATATGGTGAAATAACATTTATTAACATATTTTGTTCTTCTTTAGTAGAATAACATGAAATTAATTTTTGAATTGAACGAGTTCCATGAATATTCTTTGAAATAATAAAAAATGTTGGTGTAATTTTTCTAATTATTTGTATTCGTTGTTCACTATTTACTACTTCAATAAGTTTTTGACATAAATAATTTCCAAATGGATCTGACATTAATGGAGTGATAATTGGTAACATCTGTTCAAAAATATATTTCGTTGTTTGTGGATTATTATCTTCTAATTGTCGTTGAAGATAACGACATCCATATTGATCATGACACATCTTAGAAAAATCACTTCCAAAATCACTTATACAAACATTAGATGGTGAAATTATTTCAAAATGAGGTGTTTGTGTTGAAATTAATTTTTCTTGTGGTAGTGTTTTAATGTGAAGAAATTTACAATTATCTCCGAATTTACACTGACCAATTTGATAGAATTTACAAATTCTTTGATTCCTTTGTGAAATAAATGTAGTTGATAAATTTCGAAATGGACTAATTGGTGCACTTGGTTCTGATATAGATAAATCAGAAACATACTTTGTTGAACTTGGTGTATGAGGTTCAGTAAAAGATGTATGTGATTTAGGTGGTTCAAAATCATTTTGTTCATCAAGTAACTGTGTAATGAACTCAGGAATATCTTCATTCTTGTCTTCGTTAATTGGAGACCCATTTCTCTACAAACTATTAGTTCTTCTCTTTTTTTTTTTAAAAAAACAGAAAAATTTTTCTCTAAAAACACTTTTTACTAAGTCTTGTCTTTTCATTTTATTTTGTTAGCTTTTTGTCATTCATACTTATATCTCTATTAAACTATCAAAATAAACAAACTCTAAATGATGAAAATGATTCATTATTCATAGAAAATGCTTCAAATTGATCATTCAAATTAGAGATCATCACTTTTTACTTTTCTAGTTTTATTTTTCAAGTTCTATTCTTCTTTTGAAGTTTCTTTTTTTTTTTTTCTTTTTCATCATTTTTATTTTTAATAATTATTTGTGTTATATAACATATTTTTTTAATATCACAATCATAATTCTATAGATTTCTCATTGATACGATGTTGATTGAGTTTGTTTATTCTTTGCATCTCGTTTGAGTGTTATTATGAATTGTACTTTCATTAAAACTTTGAATTTATTTTCATTGTTGATTGAAAGACTGTATTCTTTGAATGAGTTACCTTTTTATTTGTTAATTAAGACTTTAAGGGCTTTATTTTCCTATTAGATTGAAAGAAACATAAATAAGAAACTATTAGTAGAATGTGCTTATTCCATGAAAATGTATAAATACTGATCTTTGAAGAAAAGTTACTGATTATTCACTTACAAAATAACATTCAAGTTTCTACTGAACTTTTTTATTCTATTGGATGATATATAAGTTATTTTGAAATAACCATTTTAATACTTAACTCTGAGAAAATAGAATCTAATTTGTTGATTATAGATTATGAATGAAAGTTTTACTCAAAATTACTGTTCCAATAAGAATTAAAATAAACATTAGTTTTAAAATAAACAACGGTTTCAACTACAACATTATAATATTCTTCAATAACTTATGTACTGTATTCATTTTATAACTAAAACACAGATACACAATAACTTGTTGTTTCACGTGTTAATTTAAATATTGGTTATGTGCAATGAGAGTGGATATACTTGTTTTCTTCTTACTAAATGAATAGAGCTAGTACAACAATATAACTGTTGCAGTATAAATATTTTTAATATTGATATAACCAGATTAAATTCCTAATATTAAATTGATGTTATTTTATGAAACTGACATACTATTATTTAATGACTCATCTTCTTTTCAGTAAATACAAGTCAATAATAATATGTGTATTGGTTACTGAGTGTTGAATGTTCTTTATTCTGATTTTCATAATGAATTCCTTCTGTTGTAGAATTTGTTTTAACTAGCAACTGAAAGTTAAATTCATAGAATGATTCTCATTATATTGGAGAGTTTCTTTCTATGGAATGAGTAACAAAAGTGTTATATGTTCTGAGTAATTTATCAATACCTTTTACAGAACGAAACAAGAATTCCAATAAGAACTAATTTATTTAAGAAAATGACCAGTTAATTCATTGTTAATTAACACATTGGATTACTGTAATGCGTTCTGGAGCAAAATAGATTTGGTTTGGTCATTCATTAAAACGAATAAGTTTCATGACTGAATGAAATGGAAAAACAAGATATGTTATTCTTATGTTCATAAAAACACATCCCTTAAATTTGAACAAAGTAAATAATCCATTAATTCGTGTTATACAAATAAAATAGATGAGCTGAATGTGATAATTTGATATTAACCATATGAACATCATTCACTCTTCAGAAGACATCAATGAAGATAAAAATGTACCAAGATCATTATCACTGATTAGAGAGTCAAGAAATCCACCACACCTTTACCACGTTCATCTCCAATAATAAATACAAACGTCTTATTTGAAATAATGTCAATACAGAAGTATTTATGTTTCAGTTATCTTTGTCATATTCAAAAATAACAGACTTATTTGTTTCATTTGTTTATTTTTTGATTTGCGTTTGTTTTGTAGTGTGTAGCTTGTGTATTGATTGGATGAATTGATATAAACTAAGTTTAAGAGTTGTTTTTCAAGAAAAAAGTATTTATAAAAATACAATTTTATATAAATATTATAATTTATAGTAATTTTAACTATCTTTCAAATTATTTAGAACTGATTTATATAAAATGAAAAATATTTTTTGAGTTCAAAGTTAATGAAAAGATGAAAAACATCAGGCATTAATGTCCAAAACTGTGTCTAAACAATACTAAAATACAGTTGGTAAGTGATGATATAAAATTAATTGATGTCTTTATTTTTTTTTTGAATAATGACAATAACTAAGATTAAGATACATAATTACAATGGACTGGGCTTCTTTATTCATTTTCACAATATTGACAATGAACCTAAAACAACCACTAACCAAAATTTAGATTTATTTATTCTATTAATTTCCATTTAAATGAGTCTTTCTCTTTCAATATCCTTTATTGTATAACAGAATGTATAGCTCTTCATATGACACTTTTGTTGTAGTTTGTTATTTGTTTAATTATGTTTTGATTGATTGTTGTTTCATTCTTATTGTGGTTTCTATTCTTATTTTTCATTGTTTCTGTTTTTTGTATTTCTTATGTTTTGTTTCAAAAAGTATTATTCATTTGTTCAATGGTTGAATTTGTTTAATACCTCTTCTTTTATTCCACTGTTTTATATTCTCTTCTTTTTACTGCTCTTTCTTGTATAAAAAAACTCTTTTTTTTTAATATTCTTTTTTTTCTTCTTTACTTTTTTTAACTCTTTCTGAAAAGACTTTCAAGTTTCTTTGTCTTTGTAAGTAGACATACACTGCATAAACAATGATAACAACAACAATCACAATCAAAGCTATGACAAAAATGACTATAACTCCAATTGTCCATTTAGGGAATTCCGTATTTTTAACATATCCTGCAAGTCTATCTTCTGGACATGCAATGTCTTTATCTTCAAGATTGGTTAATACTATTCCATGACATGCTGCTTTGAATTGATATGAATTTCCTTTTTCTTTTCTACTTATTTTGTTACTTGAAATTTTGTTTATTTGATATTCTTCTACTTTTATTTCATTTTCTTTTGGTAATCTCATGATGACTAACAATGTTTTACTTCCTGTTTCCTCATAATAAACATTGATAATACTCTTCTTTAATGTTGTCATTGTTTTTCCTCCAACATCATCTCCAATATTTAAATTAGCACTATTGTTGTTTATTGGCTTGATTGTAATTATTGTATCTGTAAAATCAACATCATTACTCATAATATCAATATACGTGTGTTCTATATCAATCTTTTGTTCTTTAAAACTACTTTCTTTGTTGATTTTCAAATATCCATTTGAAGTAACTTCTAAATTAACTCCTTGAATTCTTTCAATTGTTAATTCCCCTGTATCAATAACAACATTTGAATATGTTCCATTACCCAATATTTCTTCTATATAACTTTTCTCTTTATTATTACTTTTAAGTGTCATTACAACTTCTTTGTTTTTATCTCCTTTAATGTTCATTTCTTTTATACTGCAATTACTCATAATAAGTGTTGATGTTCCTAAAACATCCACTCGACTAATATTCACATCTTCTCCTCTGATTTGATCTTCTGATATTTTCAATCCTTCATACTTTTCATTTGATATTAATTTGTACATTACACTTGTTGTTGATGAAAAATCAATTATACACTTATCTCCTGAACATGGACATGTTTTTCTTTCCCACTCTACTTCGGTTGTTATATTTTCTTTATTTTCTAAATTTGAACATGCTAATTCTTGAACATTTGGTTCAATTCCTTTTGGACATGCTGATAAAATGTATTGCTGTGAATCTAAAATAACTCCACTTGATCCTATTAATGTAATTCGTTCAATATCATTGTTTCGTATTAAATTAAAACATTTATCTCCTTTATTCTCTCCAACAATTTTCACACTAATATTTTCAATCTTCACATCTCCTCCATTTTCTATTACAATAATATCATCATCTATCCTATTTCCTTCTATTTCTATCATTGTATTTTTTATTGTGATTTTATTAACATATCCATCTTCTTTTGTTCCTCCTTTCATTATTATCTTCCCTTTTTCTCCTATTTTTATTATTCCTCCTTCTATGAAAACTCCTCTTTCTTTCACTTCTTTGTTCCCTTCTATTTCAATTAATGCTTTATTATTTTCACTGAATGTAATCATATTATTAATTTCTATTTCTCCTCCTGTAATTTCAATTCTTCTTGTAAAGATTTTATCTGTTTCTAGTGTAAGTGTTCCTTTACTCATTGTGATTGAATCAACATTTAATGTCACTCCTTTAATTTTCATTCTTTTATCTTCTCCATCTATTATTTGATAGATGTTTATTGGGAATTTCGATTCAATTATAGTTTCATTGATCTTCATTGTATAAATACTTGAAACTGATTTCATTAAAATGTGTTCTCCATAGTTAATTATTCTTTCTATTAATGAATTACTTACTGGATCATTAAATACACATTCATTTTCATTCTCACAATCAAATATACATTCTTGTTTACTTATAAGTGAATATGTACAATAACATCCTGTTGGAAGTTTATTTTCTTGTTTATATGAACATCTAATAGGTGGACAATTATATGTTATGGTATCTGTTTTACATTCTTGAAGAACAATTCCTCCACATTCTATCATTTTCACTTTTTCATTGGAATTAGTGATACTTCTAATCTTAAACGATATTTCTCCATTCTTAATATGTTCTTGTTGATGTGAAATAAGTGGAGTACATCTTTCATTTGGTTCATTATTTGATTCATAATTGAATTGTGAAATACTTGCTATATTATTTGATGATGATAACACAAATGTTCCTGACTTATATGTAACTTTGTCAATGTCAAATGAAGTATCTGATTTAATTATTGATCCTTCTAGAATAAGTTCATTAAATACATTAATTCCTACTAACTTAATATTTCCTGATTTCCCATTCAAATGGAATTGTGTATTATAAATTCCATCTAAATCTACTTCTAATTTTCCATTACTGTTATCAAGTATATTAATATATGTTTCTTTTTGTGAATCTTTAATATGAATATTTGATTTTGTTAATACTAAATTAACATTATTCTCAATTGTTGTTGTTTCAATATAAATTGTACATTCATTAGAACATGTAACAGTATTATGTTTTGATTCACTAACAATGTAATAACTTCCTCCTTTGATATTAATACTTTTATTTCCTTGTGAAATTTCAATAATATCATATCCATTTGTTGTTTGACTATTATCTTCAAATATTATTTCATTACCTTTACTTATTGGATATATGTATTGTTGTTTCCATTTTGTACCTGTTTGATGTTGACAATTATTAGAATCAATACATGTATATGGAAGTGGACATATATAAGAATTTGAATCAGAAATATATACATATATTGTATCATGACATGCAAAATATACATTATCTGGTAGATTTCCATTATCATTTGATGAATTACTTAATTGGATTAATGGAGCACTTGTAATATCACTAGTGATTGTTGGTATATTTATTGAAGTGAATTTGATTGTATTAGAAATAATAAATGGAAGAGTAGATGAACTAATAGATTTAAATTGAATAGAATTTGTCGTTAATTTCCCTTCTGTTATAATTCTTGAATTTTTACCATCAAGAATAAGAGATGAAATAATAATATCATTATCTATCATAATCTTACTATCTTCTTTAATCTCAATGTTAATATTTGTTTTACTTTTGTCACTATTAATACTTCCTACATAAACATCTTTAGATCCTATTATAATATTATTTGTTATATCACTTGTAATTATTTCATCTATTTGAAAATCACTATTAATTTCTATACTTTTCTTTATGATCATTTGATTTATTTGTGTAATCCCTGTGAAACTAATTGAACAATCATTTGTTAGTGTTACTTCTTTGTATATTCCATCAAATCCTTCGACATTAATTTTATTATCAGAATTAGTTGTTAATACAAGAGGAAGATTATTATTAGGACACAAAGATGGAAGTGTATATGATTGTGAATCTGAAATATCAATGTTTGTTGATTTAGTAATTTCACATTGTTCAATTTCTGGAATTAATGAACCACTACATCCTTTATAAAATATATTTGTTGATTGAGATGCTCCTTCAATTTCAATATTATTCATTGTTCCAATTACATTTCTGAAATTACAAATGTAAACACATGTTGTTGGTATATTTGAAATCTTCATTCTTGTAAATGAACTATGAACATTGAATATACTATTATCTACTGTTTGATATGTTTCTGGATCATTTACATTCATTTTATTAATGGATACAGAAGTGACAGTAGTTGTACATTCAAATTTAGTTTTCTTGATAGTCATTTCATTAATAGAAATACTTCCATAGATTGTAATTGTTCTTATTGTGTTAGTATCTGTATTTGTAAAGATAATTGAACCAGTATTAGATTTGATTGATGTAAGAAATATATCTTCTTTAGTATCAATAGTGAATGTACCTTTTACAATATTAATTGATGATATAGAAACATCACTTGATTTATCAATTCTACCAATAACATTTCCATTTTCTATTGTTAAATCTTTTGGAATGTTAGTAATTGTGAATTGACCATTCAATATTAAATTATTCAATTCAGATGGAAGAGTGATTGAAACAGAAGTACTAAATGAATTTATTATTGTTAGTTTTTGTGCATGAACTGTTTTGAGATCAATTGATGTTGTTTTCTCATCATTAATATGAATTATTCCAGAACATGGAATATCATTTGTTGTACATGGATTTAATTCTATTCTATTATCAAAGTATGTTGTTTCGAAAGTGATTGGTTGACAAACATAATCATTTCCATTTTCTTTTTTACTAAAAATGACAGTGTCATCACATTTACTAATACAATCTGTTGGAATATTAGATATTTTAGATTGTGATTTAACAACAATATTTTTTGTAGTATCAACACTAAATTTATCAGATTTATCAATATTAAATATAACTTCATCATTTAATGAAGTTGTTATTTTTGGATTACATTCTTTAATATCTACATTAACATTATTAACTATTGCACTAATAATTGTTGCTGATTTAATTGTTACATGTGATTCAGTTGCAATTATAACATTATTAAATCCTGATATAATAGATTGTGAATAAACAGTAATTGTTTCTGTTTTTCCATTTCCATTAATAGTTATTTCACTTGAACTATCACCAGATACAGATATTGAATGATCAGATGTTGATTCCATTGAAATTACACCACTTAATCCTGAAATATATGTATCTATTCCAATATCAAACTTCTTCATTCCAGATGCAATAACACTTGGTGAATTGATTTGAATTAATGTATTTCCATCAATACATTTATGAGACTCAGGATTAAGATATGATGTTTGTTTATTTAATTCAATATTTTTATTTTTATTTGTATAACATTTATATGTTGGTTGTTGTTGATTATCTGTATTTTGAGTAAGATATGAATTAATAGGAATAACTTTACTACCTTCAAATTTACATTCTTTATTATAATTTAAGAAATGTTCAGGAATTGTGTTTTTATTATCAGTTAATGTTACTTTAAATGACTTAAATATAAATTCATTTCCACTTGTAAATGAAATTGTATTTGTTGTAAAATCAACACTACTACAACTAATCTTACCTGTTCCAAATGTTGTTAATTCTGAAATGATAATACTATTTCCAGTAACTGTAGATCCCCACTTGTAGTAAGTGTTTTTGCTTTAATATCTCCTGAAATAATCATTGAATTTAAAATAACTGGTGTATCCGTATCAATTCCATTACAATTACCATATACTGTAAGTGTTTTGTCTTTATTATTGTCTTTATCTATATTCTCAATTTTAACATTATCAACATTAAGAATAAGATTTTTTGTTTGTCCAGTAAGATGAATAGTGGATCCTCCTTCATATGTTGATTTAATAGCATAATTGATTGTTTCAGATGTTACACTTGATTCTGTTTGTAATTCAATATAACAATCAGATGTTTTGCATTCTATTAATTCATGTTCATAACCAAGTTTCAATTTATTTGAATTGTTATTTGAATTAGTAATGATAATCTTTGTTGGTAACTTTTTAGAATTACATTCATCTTCTTTATCTGTACATATAGAATAATATTCATGATATAATAAACATATTGTTTTACTTTCTTCGTCACTTAATTTTGAAGTAAATAACATATTTCCATCACATGAAACAATATTATTATTATCAGTAAATGTAATATGATTAGTTAATCCATCAAGTAATAGTGCTGAAACATCTGGATGAAATGATGAATCAATGTTAAAATTAGTTAATTTAAGAGAATATTGATTTCCATTATTAATTATTGAAAGTAAAGTTGATTTCACTTTCATAGTTTCAATAGTAATTTCAACTGATTTTTCTTTTGTGTTTTCTTTTGTAATAGTAATTATTCTATCTTTATCTCCATACTCAAACTCTTTTAGTTTCAATTCAAAACTAGTACTAATACTCTTATCTACTGAATATGCACTAAATGAACCAGTTGTTATCAATGGTAATTTAGATATAACTTTATTCACAGTTCCTCCAATATAAATAGATGTTACTCCACTAGCTCCATTCAATGAAATTGTGTTTGTATTTGAATTATCTTGAATATTTGTTATTTTAGTGACATCTTTAATATCAATAGTATTTGAATTTGACTCAATTATTAACTTTTCTTTTAATTCATTTCTTCCTTTTAACGTAACTGAGTTAGTTGTTGATGGAATATTATAAACACAATTAGTATTACTATTGCCGTTACCAAGTGAACATGGACATTCTACAGCAGTGAACTGTTCATCAAATGAATTACTTTCTTTTTTATCAATTGAACATACAATTGTAGTATTCATTTCTCCTGATTTCATCACTCTAACAACTTGTCCTTTATCAGTAGAAATTACTGATTTAGTAAGTGAAGTAGTTTGTTCACTAATCGTAATTGAGTTAAGAGAATCACTTGCAATGAAATCACAATAATTTAGTTCTGTATTATCACAACTTCCAGTAATACTCTGAACATTGATTTTGCTATTTTTTAATATAATATAACGAGAAGATGAAACTGAAACTGAAGGAAATGAAACAGTAGAAGAAGTTGCAGTAAACACTTTTTTATTATCAGAAGATGTTTTGAGATTATTTCTGATAAAAGATGAAGTTAATTTCAGTACATTTTTACCTTCTTCATAAGTAACTGTACCTGTTACTATCAGTTTCATATTAGTTGGATTTAAATCTCCTATTTTCATTGTTTGTAATGTTAATTCAGGACTTTCTTTTGTTTGACCCGTTATTTCAATATTATTACAAGAATCTGTTAATGACTTAAATGACAGAGATTCTCCAAGTGTATATTTTTGTCCTGTTGTTAAAGTTAGTGTATATTCTTTGAGGTCATCAAATTCTTGACAATCAAGTTCATTAAAATTTGACTTTGTTATTGATTTTGTATTATCTTTTAATGAACAAGCACATGTGTTCACAGTTCCAATACGATAGTATGTACCACATTTATATGATGATACTCCATCAATCTTGATATTTTCATCTGATTGTTTTGTATAAACACATGCTGAATTAGAATTACATTTACCAGAAACTTGAGTGACTTTAATAAATGAAATAGTAACAGAATTATCCATTTCTACTGTCATACTTTGTTGTTTTGAATCATCTCCTTGTCCACTAGCCTTAATAACATCTTTTTCTTGTTTTGTATCATCTTCTTTAACAGTTACACTAACATCTTTTTGTTGTTTTAATTTTAGTGAATTGATACTTTTTGATAAAGTTATTGTACACTCTTTTGTTGGTTGAACAGAGTTCCAATTCTTATCTATAATAAGTGTAGAATCAAAACAGTCATCAACAAGAATCATTTTAGAATAATCAGTAATAGAGTCACAATCAATTTCTGAGTACTTATTGTTTTTTTTGTACAAAATATTCATCAATTCTGAATGATCATTTATTACACTTTATAATATTCACATTATCATTTGAAAGATCTAAATGAATACTATTCTACTCTTTAACATATTAAATGATTCTATTATTCTTTTCTGTTGTATCAATATTTTCAACTTTTATATTTGTTTCAATGATAAATGGACAATTACTTGATAATTTGAGAGTCTTAATTGTTCTTGCTCCTATTAATGTATGTTTTGTACATGAATCAATTTTAAAAACAATAGATATTGATTTTTTCTTCAAAGATTAACTATAATTTCATCATTTGTTAATATAATATCAAATAAAACTGAATTGTAATCATCTTCAACTGTAAAATCATCTGAATTGATTAAACAATCTTTAAACTTGTAAGAACAAATAAAAATGAAGAATATATTAATAATAATCATATAATATCAACTATGTATGAGTTTAACTTCTTTAGTTATCATAAAGACGTTTAAGAATAAATACACCAACAAAAAAAACTATTTAAAATTATACAATCTTCTTGTCTCTTGGATTCTCTTTCTCTTTACTTTTCCTATTGTTATTACTTATTTCATTATGTTCTTTCTAAACCTTTTTTTTAATCTTTTTTCGTTTCAGTATTTGTTTCTAAAAAATAGAATCATAATCAGACTGAATCTCACTTAACTTTTTTTAGAAATACATACTTGTTATTATATTTAATTATTGGAGTCTGGTTTATTTTAATGTTTTGAATCAAATTAAGATTATTCCTTTTATAGAATATTTATAAGTTAGATAATATTTTCTTTGATTTCTAAATACAATGGTAGACTTGAAAACAGTCATTAATTCTTTAATGTCTTTAAATAACAAAATAACAAATAATAATAGGAAATTGAATATAAAGTAAATAATATCAAAATAAAATTGAGTGTAAGCTAAATAAATTGAAATATGGAAGTATTTAAAATAAAAACAAAGAAAATCAAATGAAAAATAACAAATAAGTATAAACAATAAGTGTAAATAAAATTATAATGTTATTATGAAATATTAAGTGAAATATTAATGATTGTTATAATTAAAATGATGATAAATTATAATAAATAAATATAATATAAATAATTAATAAAATAACAGCATAAAAATAATTTGTACAAAAAGAATAGAACTAGTTAAACTGAAATAATATAACTAAAGAAGAAACCTTTTATAATAATTAATTTCAATAAATATAATGTTTCAATTTGGAATTGAAATCATATACGCTGTTTATTTAATCATTTAATAATAAAATAATTATTTTATTTTAACTTCTTCATTTCCTTTTTGATTTCGTTCTGCCTCAATGAATGTATCATATATCGTTTCAACAGATATTGTTTTGTAAGAATATTTAATAATCAATGAAATAAGTGAATTGAATTTGATATTTATTTATTTCTTATTCATATTGAATTATGAACTCAAGATGAAATTGATATTGAACTAATACAATTTGAATGAATATTTAATATTTTAATTGAAATTAGAAGTGATGAGCAATAACATAATAAAACGATAAATAAAAATGATAAAATAATCAATATAAAATAACTAAATCATTTGAATGGTATTATAAATCACAATGAATACAAATATAATA